TGAGTGTCTGTGTGAATGATGAAGTGAAGTGAATAGGAACAAGAAGAAGTATTATTGTTACTTTGTTGATTTGAAGAGCATTTGCAAAATATTTTGCTCCTTTAGCACCGATTTCATTCCAACCCAAGTTGAGTGTGGTGAGCGTCTGTGTGAATGATGAAGTGAAGTGAAGAGGAATAAACATAAGTTTTGTTGTTACCTCGCTGATCTGTAGAGCATTTGCAAGATATTGTGCTCCTTGATCACTGATTTCATTGGCTGCGAGGTTGAGTGTAGTCAGTGTCTGTGTGAATGATGAAATGAAGTGAAGTAAAGAGGAAGAAGAAGTATTATTGTTACTTTATTGATTTGTAGAGCATTTGCAAGATTTTGTGCTCCTTGATCACCGATTTTATTCCAACCTAGGTTGAGTGTCGTCAGTGTCTGTGTGAAAAGTGTGTGAATGATGAAGTGAAGAGGAACAAAAATAGATATTGTTGTTACCTCAGTGATTTGTAGAGTATTTGCAAGATTTTGTGCTCCTTGATCAGTGATTTCATTGGCTGCGAGGTTGAGTATGGTGAGTGTCTGTTTGAAAAGTGTGTGAATGATGAAGTGAAGTGAAGAGGAAGAAGAACAAGTATTGTTGTTACTTTGTTAACTTGTAAAGCATTGGCAAGATTTTGTGCTCCTTGATCACCAATTTTATTCCAACCGAGGTTGAGTGTGGTGAGTGTCTGTATGAATAGGGTGTGAGTAATGAAGTGAACGAAAGAAGATATTTTACTGTTACCTCGTTGATTTCTAGAGCGTTAGCCAGATATGTTGCTCCTTCAGCACCGATTTGACTGTTATAAATGTTGAGTGTAGTGAGTGTCTGTGTGAAAAGTGTGTGAACGATGAAGTGAACTGAAGTTAATAGGAAGAAGAACAAATATTGTCATTACCTTGTTGATTTGCAGAGCATTGGCAAGATCTTGTGCTCCTTTAGCGCCGATTTCGTTGTGTTCGAGATTGAGTGTGGTGAGTGTCTATGTGAAAAGTGTTGCATATTATAAAGTAAAGTGAGGAAAAAGAAGAACAAGTATTGGTATTACTTTGTTGATTTTTAGGGCGTTGGCTAGCTCTTGTGCCCCTTCATCACTGATTTTATTGCGTTCGAGGTTGAGTGTAGTGAGTGTCTGTGTGAAAAGTATAGGAATTACGATACTGTGGATTAAGATTGGTAGAAGTTTCGTTTAGAGTGGCAAAATTGTTTCGGAAAAGTGCTTTTGAATGTAATAATTACTTGATCAAGATACATTGCGTCAATATACTTCTGTAGATCGGGATCATTAGATTTAGGTGGCTGAAGTGATGTTGGTGGATCTGAAAATGGCTCTGATGAAAGCGTAAGCGTTGCTAGTGGATTTGGTAATGGCTTTGATGAAAGCACAGGCGTTGTTGGTGGGTTTGGAAGTCGTGGTGGTCTCAGCATAGATGGTGTTGTTGATAGAGTTGGAAGTCGTAGTAGTCTCGGCATAGATGGTGTTGTTGGATGTGGTATAGGTTGTGGGACAGGATTGATTAATGGAAATTCAGGTTCGATTTCCTTCAGTTGTATAATATGTAGGCCATTGCCTGAATTAAGAGAATCTGTCACTTGAAATTGTCGAGCTGGTGGAAGTAGTGCTTCTTTTTCCACTGGAGAAAATGAGTATCGCTGAATATTTTTGGCAGAAGAACAATTAATGCTAAATAATGTTCTTGTTCCACTTTGACCTACAAATTGCTCATTACGTAAAACATCGATAGATGTTGTGCAAGATGAAAAACTCCACCAAGTGACTATACTTCCTTTTGGATATTGGGCACTTAAATCAAGTGTCACTCCACGATACACTATACGACGATTAGAGTCTGACGGAAGTTTGGCTAAAGATGTCATAATGAGACGAAGATAAAGAAACCATGGCTCGAGTAAGTTTCGATTTGCTTCTTGTAAAGTATTATTAAGAATAAGATAAAACGAGTTTTGTCTTGGTTTCCATTCCATTGTGTAAAGTGTGATTGAAGCTGCTTCATCATCAGTTAAACCATGTTCTCCATCGAAATGCTTTTGTTTTACTGTCGAAGCCATGCGTTCAACTTCAGGAACAAGTGGAATAAGAGGCAAAATAGCTTCTTCCAGAGATACAAGAGGCTTTCCTTCGTAACCTTGGATAGGTGGAAGCATTAGTGTTGGATCTGAAGCAAAATCTGAGAATCGAAAAATGTATTGTGATTCATCATTAAATTTCGCAGCCATGATGTGAAATGATCTAAAATGCAAATAATATCAAGTGAGAGTAAATTCTTGTTGTTTGATATAGTTAATGCACTGATCCATAAGATAGCTATCGGAAGATTTTTCTATGTATGTATGTTAGAAGAAAACTACAGTAGAACAAAATGAGTTAATATGGAGTGCTCATCAATATACTATGGTTATTATTTTCAGACAATAAGATTAGAGATAGTTGAATAATATGATGAAAATTTCTGTGTATAAATTTGATACTTATGTATCATTGAACTATTTTCTCTAAGGAATAAGTAAGCTATTGAATGTAGAAGATAGTCTTCTATGAGAAATCTCTTTTTGCTTGAAACCTATAGGTATAGCATTATGTTATGCTAAAGTATCTTTCTCTTTGAGATTGAAAGAGAAATTAGCGCTTTATACATGTGTCACTGAACATAGTTTGACTCAATCCATGTGTTTATATCTTTCTAAAACTAATAAAAAGATTATCAAATCTATTTCTATCTAATTAAAGACCATTCAGAAATGAACATAAAAATCAATTTAAAGATGATTTTGATCTAACAATAGATTCTTGGAAAAGAGAAGTTTGAGTTTACATTATTTTTCTGTGTTATCATCATGATTGTAAGACAACACTTGTCTGAAGAAATGTTCGTTTTTACTTTACTTATTGATACTCATACGATCTATCTAGGATTTTGTATCATGAGATGAAATTAATCCTGTTATATTATCATCATGGCGGATGGTGTTTTATCTCTACAATATATCCAAAACAATCAAGTTTTTGTAGGAAGTGATATTTTTCTGAACATAAATTTACAGTATGTATCTGTTAACTGTAAAGAAAGCTATCTCAATAAACTTTCTCTAATAACTATTCAGATATATTTCATACAATGCTATTGAAAATAGAATAGTTCGCTTTAACAACACCACAGTGTGTAAAAACTCATAAGGGATTAGCATTTTTATTTTAATTCAAAAAGTACTCGATCCTCATCTATTAAATTTGAATTATCTGATGCTTTGTTGGAATAGTATTACAATTGAAGTTAATTTAGTTCATAGTTATATTTGTCTTTATGAGTTTATCGTGAAAATATATAGGTAATTGAGATGCGATGACATTTTGATGACAAATAAACATTGCTAAATTCAGTTTTTGTTAGAAAAAAGCAAACAACAAATGATGAGATAGTTAGAATAAACTCGATGTCGAGATTTGTGGACTATCTCACGGTATAGAATCTCATTCTAGATCATTCTAATCGAAACTTGTAAGGTTTTAAGTGAGATTTTTCCTAGAGACTTATTTTGATTTATTAGAAGTATTCTATGAATTAGAAAATACGTGCTATACATAGACTTGGATAGGTTTATTCGACTGAGAATATTTTGACTGACTAAATATCAGAGATAAAATAAATGTAGAGTAAATGTAATGGAAGTCTTATATTTTAATGGAAATTTTGGATCTTTATTGATCATTATTAACCAGAAATACATATTAAATGAAGTTACAACTACAATTAAATATATACATACAAAAAACATAACAACAGTATCACTAACAACATAAACAATTGACAGTGGTATTAATTATCATCATAAATAAATACTAATTTAATGTAGTTCAGTTCGATCTTAATATTAAATCAGAATTTATTCCATATACCTATATACTTACTAATAACTCATGTAAGAATATCTACTTAATAATAATGAAGACATGAGATTTTAATACAAATTTAAATAAACGAACTAAAAGTAGTTGTAACTTTATTATACTTGTATTTTTGGTTGATAAGGATCGAAAATGTTCATTAAAATCTCATTTTTTTACATTATTTTCATACATTATTATTAAGTATCAGAGAGAATACACAGAGAAGAGGAATTATATTCGAGTGAAAAGAAGAACTGAAGTACCTGGTGGTAATTGCTAGAATCATAGTGCTCTCCTACAATCCTTTAGGAATGCTGGATTCAACTAGATTCAGTACTGATAATTCATATATTCATTGTTGTAAGTACTATAGGTGATGCTGCTATCTACTTATAACTTTTTATATTCTTAATTAATTATAAATTGAAACAACAACGTCATCTTATTTTAAACTTTTATATAAAAGATGATTCCTAAGAGATGATTAATCCTATAAGTCGGATTAACAATGAATAGTAGTAACTATGTGTTGCACTAAAGAGAGATGTACACTTAATGTATTCTAAGATAATTCAGCATATATCTATAGAGATTAAATGAAATCTGACAAGGAATGAAGCATTCGAGTTAAGTAACTATTAGTAACGAATGTTGGTATCATTAAGAGGAAACATTCAAAATTTTCTAAAAATTGATATGAGCTCAAGCTTCTTAATATGATTTGGATCTTTCGATATTATCCAAAAGAGAGGTTTTTTTTAAATACTTATTTTGTTGTCTCTTTCAAATTTATTAGCAGATGGCACTTTAGTATGTGTTTATTGACAAATATTTATATCATCTAAGAAACTAGAGGATAGCGAACGATGTGACCAAGACATATACATATCTGTTAAATAGTATAAAAATCATACCTTTGACTAATCAAAGTTTGACAGAGAACAGTCTTTTAAGTCGCGTAGTGATGATCGAAGTACAGTTGTGTTCAACAATATCTCCAATAATCAACTAAGAGAAAGTAGAACAGAGTGACGCTAATCGTGTATTATTCAGCTCAATGTAAGTCATACTTTATTGACGAAGTTTACATTTAAGACATCTTTCGACTACATAATTCTAACAGGACTTCATGATCATTACATTCATGAAATCTGAGAAAATATTTAAGCATACTTACCAAAAATGATTTTTCGATACAAATAATAATAATAATAGTTGTTTTGACTTTGAGTTTGTAAAATCAAGGTTTTTTTCTAAAAATGAACAAGTAAATAAAATAAAACAATGTTGATAAGTATGCATTTCCTAACAGAGACGATTGCCAAAAAAGAGAGACCCAGTGCATTTTTCATAGAAGTTTCTTCTCATGTTTATAACTTGATGTAAACATGCGTCTTTCTTTCATACTCATGGATAAAGGGCAAGTTGATATGAATGACGTTTGATTTTCTTTTGACGGCTATTTGTATCATAATGTAAAAGGTAAGAAAAGAGAAAAATCATTCTTTTTTTTATCTTTTTTTCTTTATATATTAGTCAACGTGCGCTTTGACGATACTATAATGATAAACACACTTGCTCGTTTTGTACATATTTTTTGATAGAACGCATGCTTTGTATGTTTTGTTTTTACCAACGCACATGTAAACCTCTTTTTTTTCTGATAACATCGGAAGAAACGAGTTTGCGTTTGATAAGACTGAATGAACATCGAATTATTTCCATTCATATGGATCTATTTCTAAATTCTTTACTGTACATTTAGATTTCTCATATATGGTTTTATGATCAATAAAATTGAGAGCAATTTGTTTGAAGATGTTTTTTTAAACTTTCATATTAGCTGATGATTATGGAAAGGCTATCATTTAAGTGGTTGTTTATTAAAATAGTTAGGTTTATCAATATATTTAAAAAGCAGCAAATTAAATTAAATGATAAGCATAAAGATTGATATGTGTGATAGTGTGATTTACTTCTTTTTTCTTTCCTTTCGTTACGTTGTATAAATGATCAGCATAATATGTATATAATTTTTTTTTTCTTTTTTTTTTCGTATTAGGGTATTCTTCAAACGTTTTTTCTCTTGTTATGCTTCAGGTATTTTCATTTATGATATTTTCTTCAAAATATCGCTGATTCTTTCCTATGTTGCTCATATATATTATTGTCTTTTGAGAAATAAATGATATGATTTGTTTTCCATCCGCTTGAACAATCTTCCGCTAATATCGTTTCTGTACATCTAACTTAGTGTCAACGAATGAACAAGATAGACGTGGTACAACATACTTAATATGAAAGTGAGAATAAAAAATAGACACCTACGGTACTTTGAAATATTGCAACACTATTACCAACAGGAAAAATTAGTACCGATCAGTGAGAAAAGAAAACGAGGTTAAACAGCAAAAGCTAAACCTACTGTGTTAGTACAATAGATAAATTTTCATTTTTCTTTTTCTCCATTCATTCTTTGAATTACTGTTTTGTGTTTTTCTAGATTTTTCATAGTTCTTCAGTCTTTTTTGATTTAGTTCAAATTTATTTTGTGCTAAATTGATCTTCATATAAATATAATTTATTTATTCTGCTGATACCTTTGAAATTCTTACTGATATTCATATATAAAAAGCTGACAATCTTAGTATTTATCATATCAATATTTTCATTGCTTATTTGTATATTTTTTTGCTCATTAAAAAATTATATTCCGTTATGTAAATAGTTTTATAAAGTTCGACTTAATTTATTAAATTGGTTAGATTTATATATTGAAAATAATTCGTTCGACGCATAATAAGAATGTACAACTGTGAAGTGAGTCTTTTTCTTCACGTTTCACACAATAGGATAAAAACCAGATAAATAAATCCATCTCGTTTTATTGAATTGTTATGTTCCATTAAAACTAGAAATGCTAGAAGTTTGTCTTCAAAAAAGAAACGTATAAATACATCTGAAAAATCGTTTTTGTATATCTTTAAACATGCTGCCATCTAAATATTTTTTTTTCATTTTATAATAAGTCATGTAGAGTTCTCTAACTCTCTATGTCAAAATTCTTTGATATTACGCATTGATGTATCTTGACAAACAGTATGACTAGTAAAATTTCTATTGTAATTTCAATGAGACAAGCACATATGATAGCAGAGTTCAAACGTGACACTTTAATCAACATCATATAATGCTATAAAATATACAAGGGCTAATGTTCCTCATTTTATGAATATACGTATATTCTGAATAATTCTTAGACATGATAAATTATGATTTTTTAAGGATTTAGATATAATGTCGATTATATTATGAACTGATATTTAAATAAAATAATTATTCGTTTGATTTGATTATTGTTAATTTGTAGAATACTCTATCAGTTGTACCGAAATGACAATAGATTAGAAGCCGACTGAAGTTAAACTAATGAAACCTAAGAAAGAGACGAGACAAAAGTCTCAGATCAAATATGTAATATCAAAAACATATTAACAATAAATGTAATATCAATAAAAGACTTCAATTTCAGATTATTTTATCACAAGGATAAAACACAAAAAGAAAAATTTACATTCGTTACGTGTATACTATTACGAAAAATTCTTATTAAGAATTACTCCACATTCTTTAACATCACCAATAAATTGTTTCATAGATGGCTGTGTCCATCCACCAAATGTTTGAAAATCATCAAATGATTTCTCGTTATCATGTTCTATATACCACAGAGGAGCATATGAAGAAAATTTAGTAATATTATTCATAATTGATATCCATTGAGATTTTGATGTAAAAATTCCAAATTTTATACCTAAATTACTGATTTGTACGATTAATTCTTCGATAAATTGTATATTTATATCTGTACTATTATTATTATTCCATTTTCCTTCAATATTTAACCAAAGCCTATCTATTTCAACATTTTCATCTTTCAAATAATCGATTGTTTCAATAACCTAAAGAAAAAATTTAGATATTTATTATATTTTTTTTATTATCTCACTTGTTGAGAAGCATCACCACATGAAAAACATGGTAAGAAATACGCTTCAATTTGTTTTAAACCAACAGCACGAGCATTTTTTATCGTTTCAGCACAATTCGAATCTACAATTCCATTTTTTCGATAAACACGAACAATAATGAATTTATATCCACTATCTATTTCATCAATTATTATACGAATTTTTACTCTTCAAAACTAACCTTTTAAACATTCAAATTGTATTTGTGAAACTTTTTGAGATACATCCACACCAATCGTTGCTAATATTATTGGAACTGACGATATCAAAAAAATTTGCATAAACATTAAATTTATTTCGTTCAGTTGTTGGTGTTAATACAACGAAATAGTAGTGCTTCGTTTTTTTCTTTTTTTGCTTTGACGATTACTTTTCTCTGTTCTGCTTTTTATATTTGCATATATATACAGAACGTGTGACAACGCTTAAGAAACTATATACAATTACGAAAGAAGCTGCGTTTATATTAAAATTTACTGACATATAACCTTCATTTATTATTCAATCGTTACATTATTTTTTGTTTACTGAAGAACGAGTTAACTACAAAACTTCTAAGGCATCTTGCAAGTTTTTTTCTAAATAAAAGAAACAAATCATTATTCTAGATGAATGATTAGAAAATACCGAATGTTAAGTTAAAAAAACAAAGAAAATATCTGATATTTATATAAACAATTAATTTCTCGTTTTTTATTGTTACATTTGAATTGAAAATGTAGAAATATCTTTTCATGTCAATAATTTATATATAAATCATAGACAGACCAAGGTTAACTTAGGCAAACTTGAAAATAATTTTTTTTTCTTATAGGCTTCATTACTACTTAAATAACCACTAGTGCAAACGTCATAATAACATTCTTTTCATTCAATGAAATAAAATACAATAAAATGACGATATGAAATATTAAATAGGAGAATCGGTTACAGTTATAAACTATATCGAAAATATGCGATCATTTATATTATTGAATCATTTGATTTTGCTTTTTATTTTTCTATAAACTCAGAGGAAGTCTTAGTCAATGAATCTTTGCTGAAAATAATGATTTACTTCACTCAATAACAAGCTCATTCAAGATAAATTTTACTACTAAAAATTGATTTCAGACCAATTAACATACTATACATCCGTTTGTCTTCGCAAATTTTAATGTCTAATCATCCACACCCTTCTATGTAAAAATCAACCTAGATGATTGAACTTGTACAACAGTTCGAAAAAATATCAGCCGCCTTCTTCTTTATTCAATGACGTTTAATTACTATTCAACTGTTAAAAAATATCTTGATCAAAATAGAATTGATTATTCTTTACCTGAATATATTCAACGAGGATGGGATCGTATCTATACACTCGAAGAAAAAGAATTCAATCAACGACCATGTATAATTGGATCCGATGTTCAAATTCCGAATTCAATTGTTCGTCATCGTCTAGGTACTCAGCAAAGATCGATGAAAGCAAATATTGAAACATTACGCAATGTATTTGAATTACCTAAGGATTTATTGATGAATTTATCTATTGAACATGAAGTTCCTAATACGACCGAAGAAGAAAACATAAGTTTTGAATGGAATGATGAAGATGATGAGTCTGTAATAAAACATAGAAAATCAATTGTTAGTACAATTATTAATAAACAACGTGAAAAACGTCGTAAATATGAAGATTATAAATATAATTATGATAATAGCGAACCATTACCGATCGATGAAATCATCGAAGAAATTCAAACAAATATTGGTAAAGATTTAAAAACTGAAGATTTAAATTTAATTACAGAATTAATGCAAATAATTAGTCGATATAAACAAGCTCAAATTATGAATATTTATGATGAATTATCTGATATTCATTTAATTAGTAAATTTGGTGGTGTTCCAAAACTTGTACAAGTAAGAAAAATAGTTTTATTTAAATACTAAACAAATAAGATAAAATTTTCTATAGGCTTTACAAGAAATTCAAAGAGCATTTGAACAAGTAGCTATGAAAACAAATGTTGCTTCTATTGAAACTGTTATCGATGTTTTACTTGAAAAAGATCATACTTATCGTGTAGCAGTTGAATTATTAAATTCATTTAATGAAAATATGAAGAAACATAAACAACAACAAATGTTTAATTTAAACAATAAATCTAGTAAATAGAACGAAAATTTCTTTATTCACTAATAATTGAAGAATAGGTGATATAGCTGATCATGATCAAACTCTATTCGATATCTTAATCAAAGATCGTATTAGTCGATTACGTGAGTTAAATCTTTATTTCTTTTTCTTTCTTAAAATTAATCATTATTTCAGCTACATCGGATTTAACAATATTAATCAATGATCTTCAAACAATTCAAAATATTGATACAAGTCAAGTAAATAATAAAGATCATGATGATCAAGTTAAATTTTTATCTGAACAATTAAATACTATCTTCACACGTGCACATTTTGATGGAATTAAAACAACATTTCATTCAATGAAATCATCTGTTAGCGATGCCTTACAAGAATTTATGGATAAAACTGAAATTAGTTTAAAAACTAAATTAACAGAACATGATAATATTACTATTGAATCATATATTCAAGATCGTTTAACCTTATTAGTAAATAAAATATTTCTTTTTCTATTAAATAATCATATGTATTTTCTCTATTTAGAATAATAATGAATTAAAAAGAATCTATGAACGTTTAGCACAACAAGGTATTCTTAAACGTCATATAGGTTCTGGTGAATTAAATCAAACAATAACTATGGGTTTAATGAAAAAAATTAATACGGATGGATTAGGTATAGTAATTGAAAATATGAAAGAAGCACATTTAGATATTGATTCTATGAATAAACTCTTACAAGAATTAATTTGTATTAATAATTATATTCAAACTCAATCGTCTATTTCAATTGAACAAATTCAAAATCAATTAGGTTTTATTAAAATTAGTTTTTTTTATTTAAGTATCATTTTTCTTTTAAGCTATGGCATATTTTATTGAAACAAGTAATCTTAGTGAACAAAATATTCAAGAATTAGCTAAATCAACTAAGTTATATTCTATTGTTGATATATCTCTTAGTGATAAAGCAACGAAAGATGAATATTCTGTATTTCTTGAACAATTAAAATTTCCATTTATACGTATATGTATACAACGAATTTTAAATTCAGTTAATGAAAATACGATTGATTTGAGTAAAGTATCTAATGAATTTTATAAACAATATATTAATGATTTACTTCATGAATTGATTTATGGATCTGAAGAATTCAATAGAGAGTTACTTTTTCACCAAGTTCAAGAGCAATTAAAGAAAAATAAAGATGTAGTTGATAAAGTATATAGACAAATGTTAAAAGAAAAATTAATTAATATTGATACAAAAGTTAAAATAGATACAGATAAAAAGAAAGTATTCATAATTAGTAATGATATAAATAAAATTTTAAATAATAAAGAAGATCGAGCACAACAATCGAAGTTAATAGAATTATTCAATAAAATTGATGTGTAAGTTTGATATAAGTTTAAAGAAAAGAATAAGAAAACTATGAGTAGACCTATTCCTGAACGTGTTAAACATTGGTATAAAACCAAATCAAGTATGCCAGTAAAGCAATTGCCATTATCGAATATGAAGAAAGAAACACGTCGGCCAAATGCTAAGCTCACTAATCCAATACCTAAAACTTTAAAAGAAGGACTAACTCGAGATATCAAAGATCATAGTACCACTATTTCATCATCCAAGCATGACAATGGACAGAAAAAATCATCAGTGAAACCTCAACAAAAACACCCTGAAATGAACAAATCTTCAAAAATTCTCGATCCTGTATCTACTACTCATCCAACTATATCAACCACAACAACAGATGTAATTAATATCAACGTTGTCTCAAAATTGCAAGATGACTCCATCGAACCTATTGATACTGTCATACCAGAACGAGACAATCAACTATCGAATATAGTTCATACAATTAGTGAATACAAACAAGAATTTGAATCATCACCATATATATCGACAGAGATCCAGTCTGATATATTGGAACAATCAGATGAGAAAACTAATGAAATAGCTACTTCGACACGAATTGAAACGATTCGTTCAGAAAATACTACTATTGGTATGTTGATCTTTTATTTTGTACATGATAATTTGATTGACAATTTTTGTATCTAGGTAAAGTGGGAGACAATAAAACAATTAATTTTGAACTAAAACATAATGCAGCTCTTCTTTTATATTCTCCACTCTTACCCAACGATCCAAAACAAGAAGTACACATGATTTTAAATGGTAAAATACCAGAATTTATAAGTGATTCACAATATGAAAAAACAAAAGCACAACGAGTCTTAGCTAAAGCAATGCCTACAAATAGTATTCGTCAACAGATTGATAGAGATACAATTGTTACTAATTCTTCATTATCAAATCTTATAGTTACTAATGAAGAAACAATTTCTGTAAGTAATTATTTCGATTTAAATTTTTATACATTATATACAGACTGTGTCTGATACTCGAAAATTATCAAATCCTTCGAATGTACCGGGTGATGAACTATTAATACCTATTTCAACACCTTCATTAGAAAATATTAAATCAATGGCAAAAACATCTCATCGTACTACAAATAAATCATTAAAACAAACTGACGATATTTATATAAATTCTTTAACCAATGCTTTACATAATTTATTTTCTCGATCAGAATATGATAATAATAAACTACGAAAAATTCATGATGAACTCATTACTTCCGGTCATATTTCTCCATTAAATGAATTTTATCGTTCATCCAACGAAGCATTACGTTTAACACTTGATCATTGTGTTACTTATAATGATTTAATTAAATGGACTTTATCATTATTACAAACACAAAATAAACCAAATTTAATTGATTTTGGTCATGATCTGTATTCAATTGCAATTGATTTAGATCTATCATTAATTGAACGAATCGATAATACACAATGTGCATTTGACATACAAGAAAATCTTAAACATGATCTACAAACAATTTCTGAAACTGATTTACGAGGTATCAAGTGAGAGAGAAAGAAAAAATTGTTTTAATATGTATATTTTTTAAGAAATAAATTCTTATTTAAATGCATCTCAAATGGAAAAATTAATTAATATAACAAAAAAACTTAATGTTACATCAAAAGATCGTATGATAGTAGATTTATATTCATATCTTCTTCATCTAATTCAAAATTGTCATACATTCAAACCAAAATATCGTCCAATGCAGATATATTTACGTGTAATTTTAATCATTTTATATATATCAGAGATGCCCATCGCGGTGCGGTGGCGACAGATTCTCAATCGCGATGGACATCTCTCATATAAATGTATATATTTAATTATTCTTTTTAGGAAATAGCTGAAACATTTAAATCTCGAGCTATGATCGATTTAATACGTAAAATCGATGAAATTGAAAAGCATCTATCAAAAATGTATTCAGTAACATTTTTTGGTGTTAGTAAACGTATGAATGAATCTCGATTTATATTAACAAAATGATAATGTATTAGTTTGTTTGGTTCTTGTTTAAAACAAAAATTTCGAATTTTTTTTTGTGTGTGTGTGTTCAATATAAAAAAAAAGAAAAGAAATGATAGTTCAATTATTTGTTTTATTGTCGTAATCGATCTAATCTATTCACATCATTGAATATCGCTGGTAGTGCTGCATAATATTGTAGTAAATCATCTAATGATGCTCGACAAGTTTGATTTATCATTGATAGTGCTGATTCAATACGTGGAAGTGTTGTTAATTCACCAAGAATATTATAACAAAATGTTATATATGAAAATGGTAATATTGAAGATTTATTTTCTTGTTGATGACGTTGTTCAGTTAAAACCATAGTTCGACATGCATTAATTATAATTTCGACTAATTTTGGTGTTGCTGTACTAGTTATTCCAAATAGACCTTTTGTTGGTAAACGAAGAATAAGAGAACATTGACCTTTAATATCATCAGATTTTAATGTATTTAATTGTTGTGTAAATTGATAAGGTGTATTTAAAGACAATGGAGTTTTTTTCATACGAAGTTGTTCAAGTTCTTCAAATGAAAGATTAATTTCTTCTAAAATAGTTGTTGGTTTCGTATTTTTCATATCAGTAGATTTTGATATAGATGTGGAATTATTAGTATTATTATTATTTGCTCGAAGTCGTCTCATTTCTCGAGGAATTGGTTCATGTCGAGATATATAATATTCTGTAAGAATAGTTTGATTATTAGGCTGTAATTTAAGTAATTCTTTTAATGTTGATTCATATAATTGAGTATTATGCAACATTTTATATGCACATGCTTTACGATATAAAGCACGTGCATTGATTGGATCGATTTTAAGTGCTTGATCACAATCATCAATTGTTTTTTGTGGCTAAATGAAAAAATATGTCAGTTTTGAATATTTTCACTTCAATAACATGGGAAACTACATATTTGAAATGATTCGCCTTATTTTATCTATCGGAATTTATGCATTCTTACTTCGAATACTTTTAAATAACAAGCAGCTCGATTTGAATATAAAGTTGCAATCGTTGATTTAAGTTCAATGCAATATGTATAACATTGAATAGCAAGAATAAAACAAGCATCAATATAAAGTTGATTACCACGTTCTCGATACCATTCAAATTGATTTTTCGTCGAAGAATTATCTTTAATTTTGATATATGCTAAATAACGTTCATCATCATTAGTATCTTTAGGTAATTTTTCACGCCAATTTTCACCTTCAGCTACGTTCAATTCACTAGTTAATCTAAACATTCAATTAGAATTTTCAAGATTTTCGTTTTTTTCCTCATTTAATATTTACTTTTCACATGCACGTTGTGCTAAGGGATAACTATAATCATTAGCTGGTATACGTGCGTAATCTGCATAACTATAAAGTAGACTAGAACGAAAAAAAGAAAGATATACTAAATCATTAAGATTTAAAAATATATACAATTTTTCATTTTCAAATGCTTTAGCTCGACAAATTAAAGCATTTGCATCGGTTTTATTATATTGTAAAGCTTCCGTTGTATATTGAATAGTATGTACATAATCTTGAACTTTTGAATAACATTGAGCACAAATAATTAATGTACTAACAATATGATCAGCATGATTATGATAATCTAGAATATATATAATTGATATTGAATAGAATTTTTCGACAAGAAAAAAACAATATCTAACCAAGTACACCATTTTTTAACATTTTTTTTGATGCTTCAACCGCATTTTTAAAATCATTTAATCGATTGAATCGTTCAATATCACGTTGTAATTTATCAAGTGCCCAAGGTCGAGATGATTTTGACCATGTTTTTTCATGTAAAGTCGATGGACGATTATTTGATTGTAATATTACTAAATCACGTAACCAATTTTGTATAGTTGGACAAAAATTTGAACTAGATATATGATCATTAGAAGAATTTATAGATGATAATGATTTCTCATTTGTTTCATATGAATTCGATGATATCTAATAGAAGAAAATATATTTATCATTCATAACAAATCTAATAGTTTTATATTTACTGAATTTTGTTTATTTAATGAATAATTATTAGATATTGTTGGTATACTGCTTTTATTTGTTATAGGCATGAAATCTTGTCCATTATAAGTTTCATTCATAGTATATGTCATGTTTCGATCTGTTGTATTACTATTCGTTGTTGGTAATGAATTTTGATCAACTAATGCAGGTACTTCATCATTATTATTATCATCATCATCATCCATAGTAGGTGAAACATTTAAACTATGTGAAACATTCCCATCATCATCACTCATATTTCCTAAAATATCACCACCAGCTTCATCACCGAGTGCCATATCATCATCATCATCTTCAGTTTCATGATTTAGAGATGATAATTGAGAATGAACATTTTGTTGAAATTGATTTATATCATCACGATGATGAAAATGATGATCAAACAAAGCCGGAGAAGCTTCTTGTGAATCAATACATGGACGAGCATGATTATATGATCTTCAAATACAAAAATGTTTTAAAAGAAAATTTATCTATATATATTTACTTTTGAGGAATGTCAATACTCATGGATTGAATCGATTCATTAGTAACTTGTGGGAGTTGTTCTTCATGTTCTTCGTCTTCTTCTTCAACTTCCAAGATTGGAATTTTAACTGACGTAGACTAGAAAATCTTTTTTATATGAAGAAGAATGAATCTAATTATGAAACTTACAGTTGGTGGTTGTGGGCGAATCTCTTCTTCATCATCACCATCGTCTTCAGTAATAGGTATACGAACACCTTTCGTCTTTTGAGCAGTTGGAATTGTTTTCAATAAACTCTAAATTAACGATTATAATTTATTTCTAGAACATCGTATTCTTACTTTTGCATCACTATTTTCGTGATCAATACTGAGCAGAAGATCTAAATCATGTTTAGCATCATTATATTGTTGCTTAGAAACAAAACATGATGCTCGACGAAATAATGCTAAATCATAGAAATCAAATAGATATTTATATAAATTCTTTTTTCGTATTAAATACAACCTTTGATATGATGTGGATCCTGAGATAGTATTTTTGAACAATCTAACAATGATTCATCATAATGATTTAATTTAAAATCTAGAAAATATCATTATAATAAATATAGAAAAGAATATTTAGTAACTTACGTGCTAATGCTCGATTCATATAAACAACTAAGTTTGTATTATCAAGCATAATACTCTTTGTATATAAATCAATTGATTGTTGATAATTATTAGATTTAAATGCAGTATTTCCATTAAGACGATGTTGCTCAGCCATATGAAGACGTTGACTTTTTTCGTGAATTTGATCTGTAGGAGGAGGAGGACGAGATTCAGCTATTCATCAATAAACAAAAAGTAGAATCATTTGCGATAATAAATAAATTTAAAAACAAACTTGGCTTTTCATCATCATTATCATCTTCATTATCACTATTCACTTCTTGAGAAAGTTTCTGATCTAATCTAAAAATGACATTTTTGTTTTGAAAAAGATTTATGTACAATGAAATGTACGTACTTTCCCCATTCATCATAACTTCTCGGTACTATTCGTTTTTGTTTACCATTTTTATTTATCACAGATACTGATGAAGTTGGGATGGTAGTAGTAGAGTTAGTCTTTAAAAATCAATAGAATTAAATAAAACAAATCTTATATATAACTTACAGCTATAGATTTGGAACGGATTGGAGCTAAATTAATACCATTATTTTGATGATCTTTAGTAGTATTAGAAGATGTTTGTTTTGTTTCTTTCATTTGATTAAGAAAATCATCTAATTGTTGACGTTCTTCATCAGGTAAAAGTGTTTTATCAAGTGGAGCTTTATCAGTTCGAAGAATGTGACTGAAGAATAATATAATAATCGTTTTTAATATTTGGATAAAGAAAAAGCACTACCTGTTCGGTTTTACATCTTGAATTCGTTCAAATGTTAATTTTTCTAAAGCTGGAAATGTACCTACTTCACCGCCTCTACAATTATTTATAGAATACATAGTTTTGCAAAAAAAGAAAGGAAAAAGAATTTCATTTTTTACATTAATTCTTTGTAGATTTTTTCAAGTTCTTTTCCATTTGTACAATTCTGTATATATTTATATTCAAAATGACTCAATGGTATATTATATTTTGCTGTATGACCTGCTAAAGCGGCTGCTGTATTATCCATCTAGAAAGATTATTAGACAAATTTTTATTTTTAATTTTAATTTTCATTTTTTTAATTTTTAGAAAAATTGAGATTTTCTGTTCTTTATCTACATAATATTATTAAGATAGACGCAAAACAATGAATAATCGAAGATCCTTCTTTATTCTTCGAGTGTTTGTTATTATAAGTGCATAGATCCAAGAGAATAGATATATTAGTAATGCTTATCTCGTTCGTTCTCTGTCTGTTATACACGTCATATAGTATATTGTTTGTTGATTTCAAATATACAGTTAAGCGTACATGCAGGAAAAAGAAAAAGAGAAAAAAAAAGAAAAAGATAGAAATATATTCGAGTGGTACGATTATCGGAAGAGATAAGATGATATTCAGGGTTTGTACGTGTGAATAAAACATATAAATACTAGACGCAACTGGTCTGTTTGCTTGTCAGTCGAGTTAGAAGTTCCCATAATACATTTACGAATAGATTAAAATTACATTACATCGAAATAAATGGCGTTTAGTCAATTAACAATATTTCTTTGTTTAACATTTATTTTAACTACATTAGCTCAATTACAAGCACCATTTAAACAATGTGGACGTATGTATAAAAAAACGATATAAATAATTAATTATTATTATTTTCTTTTTATTAAAATAGCATTAAGTGCTGGTCGTATTCTTAAAGTATCCGTCAATGCTCCATGTACAAAAGAATATTGTACATTTTATAAGGGTACTGATGCTCGTCTTGAATTTACATTTAACTTAAGTAAGAAAATGAATTTTTAGAAAATAATATATACGTTCTTATTTTGTTTTTAAAGAGAAAAAAGCACATAAAGTTCGAGCTAAAGTAGTAGCTACAATTGGTACAATCGATCATGATTTTGCTTTACCTAATTCTGATGTTTGTGGACAACTCTCTTGTCCACTTACAAATAATGTTCCTTATACATATCACAATAGTATGTATGTTAGTCCAACTTATCCATCGGTATGTAAAATTAAATATCTTTTTTCTTATGATTTACATATTTTTATTTTTAATTTTAGGTTAAAGTCAATCAAATGCGTTACTATTTAATCGATGGAAAAGGTCGTGAACTTGCTTGTGTTTCATTACCCGTCATGATTACTGAAAAAGATTCCAAACTTTAATTAGCAACGATAGATTCATCATCCATTGTTTGTCATGCGACAAATAAACATTAAATTCATAACAACTCCTATACGCTTAAGAATGTGTCGCTTACTGTTCTTTTTTTTTTCGTCAGCTGAACTTTTCTTTTTTCTCTACGGTTTTGTTTTGTTTTCTTTTTAGTTTTTTTTTCATTTGAAATAAAATGCATTAGAAAAAAGAAAAGAATTGAAGTTGATTTAGTTGATATAAGTGAACGACGTAAGAAGAAAAGAATAACAATAATGTTAACTCCTATGGGACGCGTGCTTTCTACAGAAAAAGAGGATACAACAAGTTCGTATTCTATTACTATTTTTAATAAAATTTAATTGAATTATATTAAAGGTTCAGGAACTGAATATCGTGAATGTTATTTATCACCACGTCGAGAAGATTATGGTCCTCGTGCAGTTATACCTAAAGTTCCTGTAAAAAGATCATTATCAAATCGTTCGGCTCTTTCCTATGATCTCGAACAAAATCCACTATCAGAAGCAACTGAATATCGTCTTTGCTATGAAAACTATCGTCCAAAACGTCCGTATGTCGTTCATGAAGGACGAAGTCATGTTTTCGATTATGTTCCAAAACCACTTAGTATGAAACCTATGTCGAAATTACCAGTTAATCCAACGAATTTAAATGATACTGAATATCGTGAACGATTTCCAAATTATCGTTCATTTCTTCCAACACAAGAACTTCTTCCAGCACATATTTCCGCTAAACCAGATGTGCAATCGGAAACTCAAAAGAAACGAGATCAAATGAATCGTAGTCAATATTTTCAACAACTTATTGATGATCATGATAGATTACATGGTGGACATCGATATAGAAGTACAAGTGAACAACGTACTGCTTTCCAATGGCCACCTCATATCTCTCAATCTAAACAAACACCACGACAACAACAACAAGAAATACCAATGCCAATATCTCAACCATATTCTACACCTCGAAATATTTACGAACCTCTACCACCTATACAACGAACAAAAGTCAATAGTTGATATTAAATAAAATCGAATTGTTACGCGAAATAGACAGAAAAAAAAGAATTTTTGAAATAAAATAAAAAATATAATTTGTTTTTAGATTCATTGAATAGATATTTCAAGATCTTCAAAAAAAAACAGAAAATAATTTGATGAAATTATGCATTTTCTTATTTTTCTTCTACATGATTTATTTGATTACTTTAAAAAGAAAAAGAAACTATAAAAAGCGACATACTTTATATTTTTTTTTACTTGTTATTTGATTTATTTCAGCTGGTACTAAAGCCTACCATTGATATCTGAAAATAAAATTATTAATTTTAAATTAAAATAATTAACTAATCGATATTATTCTCTTTATTTCATATATGTGCGTAATACAAAAGAAAAATAATAAACTTTTTCTTTATAATAAAAGAGCGTTAATCTACAGAGAGTTATTTGGTGAGATTCTTTTCTTCATCATATAATTCTAATTAGGCTAGTATAAATCCTTCTTGTTTTTTGTAGCCATATAACAATTAAACCATTGCCTCCATGACTCATATCTGTTACTCGATCACCATAGTAATGTTATAAACGTTTTGTTGTACGACTGTAGCGCTTTTTAGGAATTCTATTCCCATCTGTTATTTTTTCTTTCTAGATGAATAGAAAGCTACAAATTCTATCTTCTTCTCTCTCTTGTATACTGATTAAATATTTGCTCGATATGAACATTACTAATCAACACTGTAATTAATCTATGCATACGTTTTGTTATTTTTTACATGTAGAGAATTAATTCTAGCATTAATAGATTATACAAAGAAATCTGTCATTAAAGACAAGGTTAAGTAATTATACAATTCTGTTATGGTAAGATAATTTCGTATCAAATTATACTATGATAATTATTCTTTTTCTATTTGGAATCCATAACTACTCTTACATATCTCTACCTATATCATATAAAACATAATATTCTCGATAAATATAAATGATACCTTATGATGAAATGTCGATAATGATCTCCAGTATTAAAATATTGAACAAATGTTTTAATAATCATTACAATTAGAAATACGAATGCAATATTTTTTGTTAAATGATTATTAACTATCTAAAACAAAACTGAATATTCAGAAGTTTATCATTTTAACGATACATAAAACGTTTTTTTTTCTTTGATTTTCAAATAAAACATTAGTTGATATATATTTTTTTTTATAATAAAAAGAATTTCATGTTTAGTTATTCATAAAATGATGACTATATATATTTTTCTTTCAAGTTGGAATCATATATAAGACTTTAGAAAGTAAAATCGTTTGAGAGTGATAAAATAACACGAAAATTTTTGTTTTCTAAATTTTTGAATCTACGAAAAATTCTTATACACATCAGACATTTTTGGTCATAATGGCACAAAAAAGACGGAAACAAAAACAAAAAAAACATTAACATGCACACACAAAGCCAATCACCAGTTATATAGAGTTTGAAGACAAAAAGAGAACAATATGTTGTTGAAACATCATAACAAAGTGAATATTTATACATCAGTGAAAAAAAGAAAGAAAAGGAACACATACACACGCACACACTTTCTCTGATCTAGTTATCAGAGCGTCTCTATTTCTTGTTTTTTTTTTGTATATAAGAATAGTAATATTAAATGAATCATGAAGTAGTTGTATCTATATTTATGTCTTGTTCAACAGGAATATCTGTTGTCGTTGTTTTGACTTGTTTTGAACGTTTATGACCTGCTCGATTTGTATCATCAATATTTTCATTACGTTTGCTTGACTGTAATTGATCTGTTGTAAGTGGATTGGAAGTTGTAGCAACTGAGGGTGTTTGTATTCTTGTTTTTCCTCGAGTGCTTGACGTCTGAGGTGCAACATGCGGATAAAGTCTTGAAATACTACCAATCGCTTTTGTGCGTCCTTCACGAAAGACAAGTTTCATTCCAAGGCGAAGATATTCAGGTGATTTTATAAAACGAAAACGTACATTTGCACGATCACCTGTACGTAAATGTTCAACAGACATTGAAATAATTGTTGCAGTTTGACGAATGCTACCACAATGTACTATACATAATGAATTATAGAATATATTTCTAAGGGTGAATAATTTTATTTACCCATTGCTTGATATTTAGTACTGATTGTAGTTGGATGATGTAAAATAAGTAAATCAGCTTCAAATTCCCAATAAGCAACAGGTGCAATTGCTGGTGAAAGTAATACCATACCTTTACGAAGTTCAGATTTTTTTATCTTTAATAAAAAAAGAAAATTTAATGACGAAATTAAATTAATTGTATTTTTTTGTTTACTTTTCTTAATGCAAATGATGATGTTTGTCCACCTTTACATTCTTTAACAGGCATTCGTTTACGGTGTATACCTATAGAAATTAATTTTAGCTATAATATATTTTTTTTAAAAACATACTTCGAATTTGTACTGTTTTAAATTGTCCAAGTGGATCAGGTCCTAATTGTAAATTATCACCAAGTTTAATGATACCTTTTAATGTAGTTCCACTAACTACTGTTCCAACACCAGGTACTGCATAAAGATCATCAATTTGAAATTCAGCTGGTTCATCAAGACATGCTTCCATTCGTGTAGATAATAAATTAAGAAATTTTTTTAATAAATCTAAATTTTCACCAGTTACATTGGATACTTGAAAAATTGGACATAATCGTTCACTGGTAAAATTTGTTGCACAGGTTATAACATCATCATTATTTTGTACTAATAATGGAATTTTTCGTACACCTGGTGAACGAAGAATTCGTTGTAAAAGTCTCATTGTTTCTTGTAAAACATTAGCAGGTGCCATATCAATTTTAGTTACAACAGCAAAAACAGGTACACCAAGTGCAAGAGCCAATCCCTTTAAAAGAAAACATATGTATATTTCGAATTTTTTATTCTTTTATTGATAACATAAAGATTAATCTAACAAATATCCTTGAGTATAAGAAAAAAAAGCCCTCACAACAACCAATAATAACTTACCAGATGTTCTTTTGTCATACCAATTACACCAGCATTGGCACCAACCTAGATCAAATAAAGGAAGAAGAAGAAACATTATGTTATCAAATAAACTGTATTCAATACCATTAACATTGCGTAATCAGGAGCATGACCGGTCATGCCAAATACGGTTGTTTTTAAATATTTTTCTATTTAAAATATAAATTATTAATATTTATTCTAAAATCTAATTATTTCTTACCATGTCCAGCTAAATCAATAAATGTTACAACCTAATAAATAGAAAAAATATATGTTCAGTCAATAATAATGTTCAATATACGAAAAACAAATAATTTACCTTTGCAGCTTTTTGACAAATATCAGTCCAATCAAGTGCTTGATTGCCATGAGTATCTGGTCTATTTACAATAGCTCCTTGAGTATCAAAACCCAAAATATCCTACAAAAATTAAAAATTAGTATCAAAATAAAAGAATTTGGTTTTTTTAGAAAAATCGTACATTTCCAACAGATGATGTTCGACCAGTTTCCATTTCATGTTTATGTCGAAAAAGTTTTTGTCGTGCAATACCACGACCATCATCAAGTACTCCATGAGTTAAAACACCTAAAAGTGTTGATTTACCAGCATCGACATTACCAGTTACTGCAACTCTTAAAATAATCAAGTTTTTTTTTTAGGGAAAATAAAATACAGATATAATTTTTTTCTTTTACCTCACTTCCATAAAATCTTCTTGATCGATATGTCTTCGAATAAGATATTCATTAGTAAAACGTGTATTATTGGAAGATGATTTTTCACGTAATAATTGGACTTCAGAATCAAGTACAGCTTGCATACTTTTAAGTGTAGCAACTGATGCTTCCATTTCATCACTGAGTAAACCAGGTGTTTCACCATCCGAGACTAAAATTAAGATAAAAAAATAGATTTTCAAAGTCATAAATGACTTTTAATGAACTACCTCCAGTGCCTATTTCAAGAATAGTTTCACCATGACCTTCATCAAGACGTTTTTTAAGAAATTTTACAAGTGCATCAAACTGTTCTTCATTTGGACTAATCCATGCTGTTTTTTTCGATAAATATTGTCGAATTATATCAGATTGTTGTTCCTCTAGTTCATTGGGGTTTCTTGCTGCTACATCAGCAAATGTTTGAATACCATCGGCCGCTGCCATTGCGGACGAATAATCTGAAGTAAACTGAATAAAAATAAAAAAATATTTAATAATCATATATACAAAATAAAAATAAATAATAAAAAATTCAAATATTTAAAACACTCACACTCATATTTTCCTCATCCAATATCTGAGTTGCCATTAATAATTAGTCTTTGAATATTTTTATGTCGCTTTCGAACTTCGTAGAAATTTTCTTTGTGAAATTTTAATGTAACAGAACACATATAATTGTATAAACTATCTCAAGAGATCAAGCAAAACTTTCCTTCTATTTATACAGATCTCGGTAATGACTGATGAAATATTTCATTCGTTTATCACTAGGAAATATACGATCATATATTCTATGTTGAGTGTCTGGGTAAAACTCTTGCACCTGATGCAAGGAAGAATACAGGTAAATAAGAAATTATAGATGTAGGTAATATTGCACAATCATTGCAACATATTTAATTCAAATCTCGTGCAATGCACAGAAATATTACATCTAAAAAATATGTTAATGACGTTATTAAAATATATTGAGATATTTATCGAAAACATTTTCTGTATATATTTTAAAAAGAACGATGAAAAAGTGAAAAATTAGAATGAATTTTCTATTAGTTTTTTATATAACTATAAAGGACAGATGACGAAAAAGAAGAGCATATAAAGAGAACGCTCTTATACGATTGGTTACTGAACAACCATTGGTATGATTACAGTGTCTTCGTCTTTTTTTTAAATAAATGGCCTCTTACATTTTCTTGTGTCACTTTAAATAATGAGAACAAAAATATAATTCTAATTAATTTTTCAATGAATGAATTTAACATGAGAAAAAATGAATAGAAAAGTTAATTTGCCTTATTTATTTCATATGTACAAATAAATAGAGTACTAGTTCTTTTTCTTATTGAATGAAACATGTATCATCATAACGTTCAGATTATGATACATTTTATATTTAAAGTTAATCTTCGTTGATAAAGAATCATTTTTATTCGAATATGTAAAATAACATCAGAAGTTTCAAATCTAATATCCAGATATAATGGTGCAATGCATTAATAAAGACCATGACATTAAATTTTGAAACATTTTATTTATCAAATGTCATATTTATAATGATTTATTTTTTCTTTATTCTAATTCAGCGTTAATTTTTGATAAATCCAAACAATTTTTATTTTTACAAAAAATTTAAAATAGTAGACGATCACATTTTCGTATTATTTGATAGAAGAATATTTCTTCGACTTTATACATCATTTACTTTCAACTTAGTACTAAAATATATCTGTTATTAAGTAATATTTTAAAAAAATGAAATATAATTATTTTACTTTTTATTAAATCCCTTCTATGAAATTCTTTTTATATAATTTTAAATACTTTGTTCTTGTCATGTGAATATGCGCCATCTCATACATTTCTTCCTTCTTTTTTCGTATCAAAAAGACACTGCTTCAATGCTGTATTTTTATTGGTGCAATTTTCACCTACAAAATCTTTAGTTTCTTCTTTATAAGTAAAGCTAAAATTGAAAACATTGAGTCACAATAATAATATATTTCAAAATTTGATTTCCTATTGACATGATGGATATGACAGAGTCTGATTCTGAATTAAAAGCTAATCTAGGTCGTTTACGAACATTTATTCAACAAGGAAAAATCAAAAAAATTAAGTATCTATTGACTAATCAATCAAAACAATTAAACTATTTCCTGGAACAAGAATTTGATGGATGTGCTTATGCCACAAAATTTAAACAAGAGAAAGTTTTACGTCTATTACATGAATATGGTAATAATATTTACCAATAATTTAATTTTATTAACATTATTTTACATTTTTAGGATTTCCATTAGATGGCTATCCGAATACATATTCAATTACAGCTTTAATCATTGCTATTCGTCGTAATGATCTTACTTTTATTCGAACACTTATTGAACTTGGCTGTGATGTTAATCATTCTGTTCGCTCTTATACAATCATTCCATTACTTGAAGCGTACCAGATATGTAAAAATAAGCAGAATAATCTTTTTTTGTTTGATGTAAATTGACGCTAGTGGTATGTAAATGAATGGAATATACATTTATTTGTTTTTTTCTTCGTATTCAATTAGACTAGTAAGAAAATTTTCCAATATCTTCTACAATCTGGTGCTTCACCAAATATTTACAATATACATCATATGCGTATTGTTCATTTAACAGTAATCGATGGTGAATTTGATTTCTTACACTTTCTACTAGATCATGGTAATAAAATACAAGAAATTTTGTATTTGTTTATTAAACTAAAAATTGAATTCATTTATAGGTGCTTATGTTAATGTAATTACAGCAACACATCGTAAAAATTTACTTCATCTTATCTGTGATAGAACAGTTGAACAATCAACAGAAAATCTTCTTCAAATTCTTCGTAAACTTATTCAACTTGGTTGTAATATTAATCATCGAGATGATTGTTTTGAAACACCACTTATGTGTACATTACATCATGGTGGTAATCTAACACTTGGTATGTTTAGAATATCAATGATATTTATCTATATTTTTTTTTATTTTTAGCACATGAACTTATTACTGAAGGTACTCGACTTGATTGGAAGAATAATTTCGGTAATACTTATTTAACACGTGCTGTTCATTATGCTTTATATGATCATGCTCGTATGGCTCTTTATGCTGGTGCGCCATGTCGTGCAAGACAATGTTCATTTCCTTATATGAATCGTTATTATCAACAAGAACAATCGACTAATGAAACAAGTCTTATGGATGCTATTGTTGATTATGAACAATTTATGGGTGAACTTGAACGGTATTTATTAAAACCAAGACAATTAAAAGATATAACACGATTAATCATACGACAAAATCTTCCTTGTCCATTGAGTAAATCAATAATTGAACTTGAAAATTATTTACCTCATTCCCTTATTCAATATTTAATGTTAAAAGAGATGAAAACAGTGCTAAACATTGAATTTTAAAAATAAAATAAAATAAATAAATATATACATTCTTTATTTTTTGTACTTCAGATAAAATGTCATTACCACAAAAGAAATTTTATCGTCAACGTGCTCATTCGAATCCATTATCGGATCATTCGATTGATTATCCTGTTCGACCTGATGCTATGGATTGGTCATCACATTATCCATCAGTAATAAAATCTTCTGAACAATCACCTGATCATGAATCTTCCGTTTCTAATAAACGACGTAAAGTTGAAAATCCATTAATTGAATTTGTCGATATTGGTTGTGGTTATGGTGGGTTACTTGTTGCACTTGCACCTTTATTTCCAGATAAATTAATGCTTGGAATGGAATTACGTGTTAAAGTACTTGATTATGTTCTTGATCGTATTCGTGCTCTACGTGAACAATATCCTGGACAATATACAAATATAAGTTGTTTACGAACAAATGCAATGAAATATTTACCAACTTATTTTCAAAAAGGTCAATTAAGTAAAATGTTTTTTCTTTATCCTGATCCACATTTTAAAAAAGCTAAACATAAATGGAGAATTATTAATAAACAATTACTTGCTGAATATGCTTATTTATTACGTGTTGATGGTTTAGTTTATACATGTACAGATGTATTAGATTTACATCAATGGATGTGTTCATGTTTTGATGAATTTCCATTATTTGAACGAATCGATAACGATGATCCAGTACTTAAAAATGATCCATGTATTGAACATGTTGTTGGTTCAACGGAAGAAGGAAAGAAGGTCGAACGAAATAAAGGTGATAAATATTTGGCTGTGTTTAGACGAATTGAAGATCCATATATAACTAAATCTTCTGATTCATAGAATATACATATCATGATATATGTATAAAGATACTTCGTTCAAGAAGTTCTATGGTTATTTTTTGTTTTTTTTATATTTTATTTCTGTTTTGTTAAAGATAAAAGAAAACCAGTCTTGATGCAGAAAAAAATATTTTCATTTATTTGTAACAATGTGTTCGGAAAAGAAAAGTATATATACAATATCAAATCTAATCAGTATTAAGTAATAATTTGTTTTACACGCTCAATATTATTTCGTACAGCTTGAGTATCAGGATGATTAGCAGGTAATGATCGTGAGAAAATATCCAATGCACGTTCGAAATTTGACAATGCTTTAGAATATTCTTCCATTTTTTCGTAAACCATACCAATATTAGTTTGTGAAATAGCCAAATCTGGATGAGTTGATGAAAGAGATTTTTGTCGAATTTCCAAGGCTTTCTCATGATATGATAATGCTTTTGAATATTCTCCTATATGTTTGTAAACGGCTCCGATATTATTGTATGTAGTAGCTAAAGATGGATGATTGGAAGGAAGAATTTGTTGAAAGATCTCACACGCCTTTTCGTAGAATGACAAAGCTTTCGAGTATTCTCCCATGTTGTGATATACCACACCAATATTATTATAAGAAGTGGCTAAATGAGGATGATTTGAAGGAAATGTCTTTTGACTAATCTCTAATGCTTTTTCTTGATACGAGAGTGCTTTTGAAAATTCGTTCATTCTATTACATATTACACCAATATCAATATAGGAAGTAGTTGAATCCGGATGATTTAAATAGGAGTCTCTTGGTAGATTTTTTTCTCTAGAAAAATTGTTTCGTAAAATTTCCGTACCTTTTTCATTGAACGATGCTGCTTTCGAATTCTCTTTCATCTTCATATAAACTGCAGCTATCTTCATATAGATAGTACCCAATTGAGACTGATCTGATAAGGGTATACTTTGTATTATTTCGCTAGCTTTTTCATAATAAGAAATAGCATTTTCATAATCACCGGAAGCATCTCTGATGTCACCAATTTGTTGATAAAATATTAATTTTGCCTGCTCATCATTAGTTTGATTGAGTAATACTTGATATAATTCTTCGGCCTTTTGAAATTGACCAATCTTAATCAATAATTTACCTAATCGTTCATATCCTGTTGATCCTAATGTTTCTTGTCGAATTTGATTAGTAAGAGTGCTCAGTTGTTGATCTTTAGTATTGGTTAATTCGAGTTTTACTTGCCATAGACGTGTATTATCCTCTGTTGATTTGATCTCACCGATACGAAAAATAGTATGCATAGAGAGAAGAATTTCTCCTTCATCTTCATAGTAACTAATATTATCAATACGAGCAAATGGAGCCAAAGAAATCAATGGATCAATTTCAATTTCATATAATATGCCAATGGTATTCATTTTACCACTATTACTTTCAGCATACATAAAAGAAACATTACGATGAATACTTGTCGATAAAAAGCTATTGAATGACATAAGACCACCTTTTGCTTTCATTAGCTTTTTAAATTCTTCTTCCGGCAATCCTTGTCCTCGATATACAGTGAAAGATTCTTTTTGGTGTTGACGAAATTGTTGCGAATGCAGTTGTTCAGTTTGACGATGAAGATCATTTATAAAAAAACTCATCGTAATAATAGTATCAACTTCAAGATTACGTAGTGCTCGATTGAGCATCTCAAAAGTAAAGCAAGAGCGAGTATACCACCAGATAGACGATTTATCATTATAACCACGTTCAAATTCATCAACAGTCTCTAACATAAGAGGATTGGCATCGTATTGTTGACGACAAAAGGTAACGAAATCTTCAATAGATTTCTGGTTGTATTGATTTTTTAATAGAATTTCTTTGAATATTTCCGTATACATAAATGATGGATCTAATTGATTCAAATCTTGATCGCTTGCATTCTCATTAGGGGGAACAAAACTAACAGGAGTATCATTTCGATTGCATTGTTTAATATCTTGTTCTAGAGCTTCACAAATTGACAGGATTTTTGAATATGGACCTTTGACTTTGAACCATTTATTCATGTATTCACTAGTTATTATTTTCTCGGTATCGAAGATATAAATAGTATCCAATTGAAATATATCATGAACGAGTGGTATTAGTTCTTCACATAGACTACTAGATATAATTAAGAAAGTCTTTTCAATACCAATTTTGCTTAAAACATCGATACATGTATTAACATTAGTGTATGTATAGATAGTATTAACAATACGTCGAAGTTGTGTTATGATATCTTGATAGCCTATTGAAAATTTATTCATATTGGAATCTATCCAGATTAGAAAAAAATTTTGGATTATACGACGTCTTGGGTAACCATCATTGGTATGTGTTTCGAAATTTAATGGTGATGTGATAGATGTTAATATATCTTCTGCTGGATTAGTACTATTTTGAACGATATTTTTGCGAATGAAACGATTAACTATTGTTGAGTCTTGACGGTCCATTTCGTTGTATATAACTTATAATTGATGGATAAAATTTACTATTTGGATTTCAAAAAAGATATAAAAATATGCAAGCTCCCGATCAAATTCAAAAAGGGTAAAAAGAAACGAAAAACAAGTACACGTGTCCTTTGTTGACAATGATTATATGCAAATAAAGGATGAATCACATATGCAATCTCGTTCTGTACCGACTTAAGTATCGAAAAAAAAGCAATCTCTTTTATCTAATCAAATCTGTCTATTAGACCTATTCAGATTAATTTAGCAATTATAATACAGATTTGAGTACATTTCAAAATAGAAGTTTAGCAAATTTATGTGTATTTAAATTTTGTTTATTACAATATTTTTGTTCGAGTATTTCTTGTTTATTTGTTGTACGTTGTGGTGGTTCATCTTGTCGGATTAATAAAGTATTTAATGAAAGCATTGACTTTGGCGGTGTTAATGAATCATCTTCATCGATTTCATTAATCCAAGTTAAAACTCGTTTATTTATGTGATATTCTTTTGATTTAATTTCTTTTTTATTTTCAATCATGTTAATCGGAATCATTGTTTCTAATCGTTTTCGATTATTACATAAGATATTCTCATTTCCTATTTGAGCGACAGGTGATGAAACGTCATACGCATTAGATGTATTTCGTATGTCATTAGTAATCTTTTGTATATGATTAGGAAGATTACATTTGCATGTTTCACTTGATGGAAGAGACTCTTGATGTTTATTATTTTTAAAATGAGCTACACATGCTCCCATACAAGCAAAGACAACATGAAATAGTTCTTATATATTTCAAGTTAATCTTATTAGTTCATTATTTTTTATAAAAATAAATAAAATCATGTAGATATTATTATTTATTTGCGCCAATCATATCTTGAATGGATGTAACTTTCTTCACTGATTAGAATGAAGCTTGATTATACGATATATACAATGAATATTCTACTAAGTTTCTATAATTGTAAGTTATTAGATAATTAAGCAATATTTCACCAAAGTAGAATATGTTCTCTTCGTTCATTCAGAAAAAGTCAAAGTGTTTTTATAGAATAGTGCATCACACATCTCTGAGAAACATCCATTGAATTTTGGTATATACAGAAAGATCATAGGTAAAAAAGAACGGAAAAAATCCAACATGTAAGAAGACATACAAAGAAAAACGAGAACAGCTGCTCTCTAAGATCATTTTTTACAGTATTTTTATGTCAGAAAACGATGACGCCAGTAAAGTTAAATAATAAGAGACAGCTGTTTCTTTTCAATCACATTGCTAAAGAGAACTCACATTCTTTTGTTCTAATAAAAAAATAGTAAAGAGAGAATATGAAAAAAGTGAGAGTCGAGATCATCATGGCTATATATAAAGAAGAAAAATGTTTCTTTTTCCTCAATGGCATCGAACAACATTCGAAGAAGTAATAGCAGTTATTCTGCTAGCGATATTAGTGCTAGTACTGCAGGTATAACAGTTAATCCACGTTATGCTTGTGAATGGGATGATACATGTCAACGACAACATGAATTCGATGATTGTCCATATCGACCAGATGAATTAGGAGGTAAATTGGGCATATATTATAGCCCAAATGCAAGTTATAAACAATATGTTCGTGATGAGATAAATAACCGGTTATTACAATTTAATCCAACAGGATGCACAATGGTTCATTTATTAATCTATAAAATAGAAAATGATAAGCCATGGTTATTATTTGTTAGTAAATCAGTTAGAGAAAAACGGCAACACAATCGAGAAGAAGTTAATCGACAATTGCTACTAACATTTCCATCAACAAATCCACGTAAAAAATATGAGGATCAAAAAGAAGTGGCTGGAAGAGCATTGGAAACTGTTACTAATGAAAATAAAATTGTATTAGACTTACCATCAGATCTCAAACGTTTCTTATTTGTTAATGCCAATAGTATTTATCCGTTATGTTTAACTAATGAACAAGCAGATCTTTTAACTAAAAACTTCTCTCCAAATGAAGAAGTTGCTTCTCTTCATTGGTTTCGTTTATCTACTGTTCTTCATCAATTACCAGCATGGAAAAATTATTTATTTAAACAATCAACTGAAACAGAATTAGCACAAGTACAAGAAGCGAAGCATAGGGGTATTAGATTGTGTGAAGGAAGTGAAGAGTGTACACTGCGGTCACTCACAGCAATTTGTCTGATGTGCATAAGAAATTATGTGGGATTCAAAGATTTCCTTAACTATGATTTATGATTGTTTATTACAAAGATAAAATGTAACTCTTTCTTAAAGAACATTTTTTTATATTAAATCTTTTAATAATAAATTCAACCATACTAGAAAATATAATCTTATCTTAAATATGACTAATTATTATTTAACTTTTTATATCGATGTTTAAACTATTTTACTATATTCATTCAAATATTTGAAAATTAGTTATAGATTTCTTTTTGTAATGAACCGATAATATAAATTTAAATAATGATAAGATACAAATTATAGAACTATCAATTACTCTATTATTTAAAAATAATATGTGTGACGTTTTATTCTACCTAAGAACATCATCAGACACGTATATGTAAAAGATAAAGTTAGATAATCGATATAAAGGAATAGTATGCACATGTGTTTTCACAAATATTTCAATACAAATAGCTCATCTTTCTTCCCCTTACATTAGAATGTTTGCGAAAAAATATGTACATACTATTACTGTATATAGACTGCCTAACTTTATGTTTCACTTATACTTGCTTGATAATGTTCTCAAATAGAATACTAATTTTCAACGTGACTTATTCTCAAAGAAATTTAGTGTTGTTCAGTCAATCATGCGATATTAAATAATATGTGTATTCAAAGACATATAATCTCTCTATTTTTATATATATTCTTTGACCTATTCGTGAAAATATTATCCTCTACGGAGCGTCATTTCTTTGAAATTCTGAACGTCTCAAGATTTAGATAAGTTGAATGCAATATAATCAGATTACAAAGTATATCAAAAATCTATTCAGATTAATTCAACAATTATAATATAGATTTGAGTACATTTCAAAATAGAAGTTTAGCAAATTTATGTGTATTTAAATTTTGTTTATTACAATATTTTTGTTCGAGTATTTCTTGTTTATTTGTTGTACGTTGTGGTGGTTCATCTTGTCGGATTAATAAAGTATTTGATGAAAGCATTGACTTTGGCGGTGTTAATGAATCATCTTCATCGATTTCATTAATCCAAGTTAAAACTCGTTTATTTATGTGATATTCTTTTGATTTAATTTCTTTTTTATTTTCAATCATGTTAATCGGAATCATTGTTTCTAATCGTTTTCGATTATTAAACAAGATATTCTCATTTTTTATTTGAGTGGTAGGCGATGAGACTTCATATACATTAGATGTATTTCGTATGTCATTATTAATCTTTTGTGAATGATTAGGAAGATGACATTTGCATGTTTCACTTGATGGCAGAGATTCTTGATGTTTCTTATTTTTAAAGTGAGCTACACATGCTCCCATACAAACAAAGACAACATGAAATAGTTCTTATATATTTCAAGTTAATCTTATTAGTTCATTATTTTTTATAAAAATAAATAGAATCATGTAGATATTATTATTTATTTGCGCCAATCATATCTTGAATGGATGTAACTTTTTAAAATTTCATCAAACTACAATGTGTTCTCTTCGTTTATACAGAGAAGTCAAAATTGTTATATAGAATATTGCATCACATATCTCTGAGAAACATCTATAGAATTTGGTACATACAGAAAGATCAGAAGTAAAAAACCAACATATTTGAAAGAAAATAAAGAGAAAAATCCAAATCTGTGTGGCATGAGTAAGAAGACAGGAAGAAAAACGAAAACAAATACTTCTTAAAGGCATTTTTTACAGAGTTTCTACGGCAAAAAAACACGACACCAGCAAAAGTAAATAAAGAGACATATTTTTCTTTCAGTCAGATTGTTAAAAAGAATTTTTTTGTCTTCTTTTGTTTTGATAAAAAAATAGTAACGAGAGAATAGAAAAAAAGTGAGTATCAAGGCCATCACGGGTATATAAAAAGAAGAAAAATGCGTTTTTTTCTTAATGGCGTCGAGCAATACTCGAAGAAGTAGTAGCAGTTTTTCTGATAGCGGTATTAGTGTTAGTACTGCAGGTACAACAGTTAATCAACGGTATGCATGTTACTGGACAAATCAATGTCAAGGACACCATGAATTAGACCAGTGTCAAGATCGACGAAATCAATTACGAGGTAAATTGGGCATATATTATAGTCCAGTTGCAAGGTATAATCGATATGTTCGTGATGAAATAAATAACGTATCATTAGAATTTAATCCAACAGGATGTACAATGGTTCAATTATTAATCTATAAAATAGAAAAGAATGAGAAATGGTTATTATTTGTTAGTAAATCAGTAAAAGAAAAACGGCAACACGATCGAGAAGATGTTAGCCGACAATTGTTATTAACATTTCCATCGTCAAATCCGTGTCGAAGAGATGAACATCAAACACAAGTGGCTGAAAGAGCATTAAGAACTATTACTAATGAAAATGAAATTCTATTAAATTTACGATCACGTCTCAAACGTTTTTTATTTGTTGATGCTAGTAGTATTTATCCATTATATTTGACTAACGAACAAGCAGATCTTTTAACTGAAAAATTCTCTCCAAATGAAGAAGTTGCTTCTCTTCATTGGTTTCGTTTATCTACTGTTCTTAGTCAATTACCAGAATGGAATAATTACTTAACTAGAGAAGCAATTGGAAAAGAATTAGCACAAGTACGACATGATGATCAGCGTGGTATTAGATTAAGTGAAGAAAATGAGGCGGGTACATTATGGTCAGTCACAGCATTTTGTCTGATGTGCATAAGAAATCATGTGGGATTTGAAGATTTCCTTAAACTATGATTTATGATTGTTTATTACAAAAATAAAATGTAAATCTTTCTTAGAGAACATTTTTCTTCTTATTAAATCTTTTAATAATAAATTCAATCATATTAGAGAATATAATCTTATCTTAAAAATGACTAATTATTATTAAACTTTTTGTATTGATGTTTACATTACCGATGAGTGTTATCACTCATTTATAACTCAATAAAATCAGAGTTCCTCTGTACGCGCGCATTTAAAACAATTCTTTCCTTGTTTAAAATGTTAACTTTGTGCCTTCTATAAAAAATTCATAACAATACAATTTATTATTTGTTTTTTACACGTTCGAGGTTATTTCTATATATTTGAAGATGAAGATCATTTGAACATAATGGTTGTTGTGCAATTTGTATAGCATATTCATAACATGCACGAGCTATTGAGTAATTTCCCATGTTTTCATATACCAAGCCAATATTGTTGTAGGACATAGCTAAATCAGGATGATTGAGAGAAAGTGTTTCTTGTCGAATTCCAAGGACTTTTTCATAAAATGGAAGTGCTTTTGAATAATTACCCATCGTGGCATGGACTTCGCCAATGTTGTTGTAGGATATAGCCAAATCAGGATGATCGGGAGGAAGAAGTTTTTGTTTGATAGCAAGTGATATTTCATAAAATGTAAGTGCTTTTTGATATTTTCCTTGATCATATTTGATCGTACCAAGTTGATGATAAATAGGTGCCTTATCTTCATTATCTTTGATTCGATCAAGTAAAATACGATAAATGTTTTCAGCTTCATCGAATTGACCCATTTTACGTAATACCATACCTAATCTGTACCATCCTTCACTGTCCGGAAAACTCTCTTTTCGAATGTAATCAGCAAGCCTGCTCAATTCTGGATCATTGTCATCAGTAAGTGTCAAATTAACTTCATACAAACGATTATTTCTGCCCATCTGTTTAATATCCTGTATATGAAAAATGCTATGCATCGAAAATAATACTTCTTCTTCTCCTTGAAATCTGCTAATATGAGCAATTGAAGCAAACGATGCTGTTAATCGAGATGGATCCACTTCCATAACAAAAAGTATTCCAACTAAATCCGGATTAGCCTGATTACTTTCAGCAAAAGCATAGGAGAAGTCGCGGTCTTTACTGGTAGACAAGAAATTATTAAATGAAATAAAACCACCTTTGGTTTTCATCATGTTTTCAAAATCTCCTGTAGATAAACCTTGACCACGATAAACGGTGAAGGTGTCTGCAACATTTGTACCAGCATATTGTTCCTGATGTAGTCGTTCAATCTGTCGATGCAAATCACCAATGAAGAAACCCATACGTATTATGACATCACCGTCCATCAATCGTAATGCACGATTAAGCATGGGATACAAGAACATGTCACAAGTGTACCAATAAATTGGTGTTTTGTTGTGATATCCTTCTTCTAATTGTTTAACGTTTTCAATCTCTTTTTTATTACCTTCAAAAGCATCACGACAGTAATTAAGATAATCTTGTATATGTTTTTGTTCGAATTTGATGGTTAATAATATTTCTTTAAGTATCTGAGTGTACATAAAAGAAGGATCTAATTGATCCAACTTTTTATTTGCTTCTACGAAACTCATAGGAATGGCATTCTGCTCACATTGATGAGCAGTTTCCTTGAGTGCTTCACAGATGGGCGTAATATCTGTGAAGACACCTTTTATTTTGGGCCAACCTTTTGCCCATTGTTCATGATGTTTTCTGTTGCCACAAAAAACAAATATTGAATCAACTTGAGACATATTGTGAATACTAGGCACAAAATTTTGTCCAAGTAATCCGGATATAATCATACACACTTTATTATCGATGATGGTTTGAATGAATTCAAGGCATTGATCAGCATCTGTAAATGTATTGATGTCGTTAACAGCACGTCTTAATTCTGTGATCGTATTTTGACAATCATAATTTTTTACGTCAATGTTACCGTCTAACCAGATTAGAAGAACATTTTGCATCTGTGGGGGATTGATATGTCGACGACCTTCTGCATCTTTTGAAATTGTAGATACATTTGTTGTTGATTTTCCTTTGTTCATTGTTTACTGCGTGAATGGTTTGAATTGGAGTTACTGTGCAAAAGTTACTAGTGAAGTCATGATCAAAAACGATTCTTTTTATAGTTATCTACTTCCTTTCGAAATGCTTTACCTTTAGCTGTTTATGATGTTGCATTGAGAAAACAATCTGAACGACAAAGAAAAAGCAAACGGATGAGATATCGTTATATCTTTGGCAAACATCGATATATTCCACGAGCAATAAATATTTTATTTTCCTTGAAGGAGAAAAAACGTGTAGAGTCATGTTTGTTACTGGAGAATCCTAAGTAAAAAAAAGTATTTATTATAGTAAATATTGTCTGAGTCACACGAGTTGATAACATAATTAGTCATCGGGAATTAGTAGACATGAATTTTTAAAAAAATGTTTAAACTAGCTTTTCTCATTTTTCTTGCTGTATTCTATTGACTGAAAACCTGTATGTAATCATTATATAGATACTGGATGAGTGCCGGTTGATTAAAAAGATCACACCCACAGCCTCATCCGGAATTTATTTGCTGATACGACTAATAGCAGGATCAGATCGTAGACTTTTGTTCCAAAAGTATAATATTGATGTATGATGAATTTGTAAATCACTAGAAATACGTGATATATCAAAAAGAAAAACTTATTCAAACTCGCCAAACATTTTATCATATTCATACGTCTGTTCAGACAGAGTAATTGTTCATAAAGAATCATGTCGTAGATGTAAATTATGAACAACGAAAATGAAATAATATTAAATTATCACTGATCTATTAGAAGTTCAATGATGGATTGTTGACAATCTCTATAAAACAAATGTATATGAGAGGAGCTAAGGAGACATCTCATTTTCTTTACTAATGTATTTTGATCGAAAGAATTTAATTGGTGTAGCGTTTGTGAGACTATCCAGTTTCTTCTACAGGATCTTATCATTTATTAAAAAACTAAGAGTCATCAAGTATCTAATACTCAACGATCCGACAGATTATCTGATTGAAAAAAATGTGTGTAATTTATGTTTGAATTGAAATTGACTGGTTACGATTGTACAGCTTCTATGGATTCAAAGTATATAAAGAAAATCTTGAGGATGTGAGTGAGATAAATAAGATACACCCAGACCAATTCAAAAATGAGCGTTACTTGTTTTATAACATTTGTAGTATATCATTTATTACAAATTGATCAAAAGAGAACAATACTGATACGTTGAATATCATGAGAAATATAAGTCAAAAATTTCTTTGTGAAATGATTTAATTATAATATAGAGTTATTCTAGATAGAAATATCTGTCTACAGTTTATTAGTATAAGAAAAAGACGGCAAATATATTCCTTTAAAAATATTTTTATCTCCATAATCAAGTTAGTTTAATATATTTGACAAATTTATATCACTACTTGTTTATCCTTCATAATAATTTAAACATTTTTCTATATAAAATTCATGGAATTTAATTAAAAGTTGACACGACATTTTTATAATTTATCTTCTATTGTTATTACTTTTCTTTTTAGGTACAACATTCATAAATATTATAATTATCTCAGTATTTTACAAATTCTTCAAGCATTAATAAATTTTGTTATTTTAATATATAGTTAACACCTATCTTGCTGACATCATATACTATATTTCAATTTCTTTCTATTTTTGTTGTTGACACTTTTGTATAGTTCAATTGAAATCAAGTAGCTTCTACCATTTAACAACGAAATAATTAAAAATTACCTTGGTATTAAAAAAGCTACAGAGTAAATCTATAAATATTCAAATATTTATTAAATTGTTTATATAGGTCAAATGTAGAATGAATGAAAAATACCTTCTAATTGAAATCCTACAACTTCAGATTGTTTTATAATGATATCTCTATAAGAGATAAGTTAATTAGACGATCAGAACCCACATACTATGGTCGCTTTTGCTTAATTGCAAACTAGCACATAAAAATTGATAGAAAAAGTTGTTCTACAAAAGAAGTAGTTAGATATTTATGTATTTACTACTTGCATACGAGAAGGTCACGAAAACTATTTTTACCGCATAGCATTGTTAATGAATAGAATTCAAAATTATGTGTAAGAAACAAATAACATAATAGAGGAAACCAGTCGAACAAGTCTACATTATATCTTAGGTTCTTACTGTATTACAATTATCATAAAGAAAACTTTAATGTATGCAAAAGAAAAAGAATACTAAATGAAATACATGCAGTAATAATAGTTTCATATAATTTTTTGCGAAATTAATATGTTTGAAATGTATATAAAATGAATCCTCAATTGATTAAAATGAGCTGCTATTTTAGTAAGTTTTTTTTTGAAATTTAATTATAAATATTCATTATCTTTTCAGTTGGAAAATATTTTGTAAATATTCAATTATAAAAAAAAAGGAAACGGAACACAGCTAAATAATATTATCAGAAATACATCTCAAACTCTTTTTTTAATCAGTACCTAGACGATGAATTTATCTTTAAATATTATATGATATTTTTGTTTTCTTTTGACATTTGTTTTTTAAGAAAAGTCTTTATTAAACAACGGAAGTTGTCGAGAAAAAACAACATATGTATTAATTTATGGAACTACTTCATAATTATAGATTATACAGTTCATTTCTTACCTAAGAAAAAAAAGTCATGTCATACTGTTGTGTTTTATAGCAGCCATTGTTATCTGAAGTACATAAAAAATGTCATCATCAACCAAGTTCAAGTTTTTGCTTAGTAGTTTTGTTTGAAAATCTTTTAATAGTATTGTCAGAAACACATCATAGACAAATCTTTGAAAGGATTTATACTGATTAATCTAGTATAAAAGATTTACTATTCCCACAATGTTTCAACTCTCTTGAGATGTTTTCATCTTATTAGTTCCATTTGAATTCATACATTGATGTTCTCTATGGGACTATCTTATTAATATGTAACTATTCAAAAACAAAGTACTTTAGATGCATAAAATAAAGACAAGCTAATAAAAGACATTGTAAAGTTCACTTGACAGTGCATTTTTTTCTATCTGTACTATTTTAATATTTTTGTCTCTGATAAATTATAATCAAAAAAGAAAAAACTCTTAATTTAGATAGTCTTCATTGAAAATAGAAACACATCATCTTTATGTCAAGATCTTTTTTTTTATCATTCGATCATGCAATAAGGAAAACTAAGAAAGGAAATGAATTTATTCTGAGTATATAAAATATTAAGTCTTTGTCTTTTTTTTCTCTTACTTATTTTATATTCATCGAAGATCTCATTTTGATCAAACTTCGAACGTACATGCACGCATATACTTTCTATAGAGTATATGGAAACATGTTGAGTCTTATTGAAAACGGAAGATAGTTACCGTTTTCTTCTTAATCTTCTTTCTTTAATATTAATTATTAATAGGTTACCTAGACACGAGTTAGTTTTCGATGATGTACTCGCTGAAAATTGATCGAATATATGAGTATTTAAAATTTAAATGAACAGCAATTAAATGACGTATATAGTTTATGACTATAGATTACATGAGAATATGTATATGTGTTATAATAATAGTCGATGAAATGAGTAGAAGAAAATATCTTGTCAAAGACACATCTTATTATGTTTTTCTTTCTCATAAGATTAGATTTATGTTGCTGCTTACATATTTATCATACGCTTGACTCCTTCCGTCATCGTATTTCTTTTTTCTCAAATTTTCTTTTCTTTATTTTTTTTTCTTCTTCTTCTCTCATTTGCATCGCGTGCACCTTTCTTCATCTCGGAATATCTGTCAAAAGCTTTAACATGTGTGCACATCCGTATAGGAGAGTCAGAGAAGAATAATTTTCGTCGTTGAGTAAGGAAAGACGATCTTACATTAAAAAATAGCAACCTAACACTTATCGACTCATTGTTATTGTTCGTGAAGCTTTTTCTTTTTCATTTCCTCGGATTTCCTTTTATTTCGCATGCTTAAATTGTCTATCATTTTCTTCTTTATTTTCTCAAGGTATACACATCCTGATCTTGTTCTATTATAAAGAGATGATTGAATAACAATTTAAAAATAAATAAAATACAAACATGTATGGTCTTCTATTACAATCATGTATTGAAATTATTCGAGCAAGATATGGACAAGAAACTTGGGAACAAATTAAAGGAATGTTACATCTTGATGTTAATACATTTTCTGCTTTTCAACAATATGGTGAAACATTATTTGTACGAATAACAAAACTTCTAAGTGAAATAACAAGTATGAATTTAATTTATTTATATTTGTAAGGGAAGATTAAACTAGAAAGAATGTACTTACTAATGATGTAAAAAAAAAAGGTTTTGAACTAATTAATATCAAGAAAAAGACTTGCTGTTTTTGACAGAAAATTTCTTTTTTTTGGTATTAAGAAAAGCTCCATTTTAAAACTATTTTTGATGTGATTATACAAATAATAGCTTTTAGCAATGAGATATAGACAGATTAATTATTGAGAAAAGTGCAATAAATCAAATCGGATTATTTTAGTTCATAATTAGTCTTTTAATCTAGGTTAATTAAATTTTATATGATATATAGAATGCATTATTAGAACACGTAAAATATGGTGTTTTATATTTTAAAAAAATGATTATTTATTTAGATGAACCAGTCAGCGATCTTATGGATATATTTGGTGTTGAATTTGTTTCATATATTTCAAATTATGGTTATGATCGTGTATTAAGAATTCTGTATGTTAAATTCTTTTATTTTATTCTTCCAAATATTATTTATCTATTTTTAGTGGACATAATATGAGAGATTTTTTAAATGGTTTGGATAATTTACATGAATATATGCGTTATACATATCCGAGAATGCGTCCACCATCGTTTTATGTTGAAAAGGAAACTGCTGAAGGTCTCACTCTTCATTATCGTAGTCGACGACGAGGTTTTGTTCATTATGTTGTTGGCCAAATAACGGAGGTATAATAATATTATGAATAGACTAGCCCGGACAACCACAGTTTTCTGGTTACGCTATTAGACACTAAATTTTTATTTAAAAGACTGGGGAGTTAATAGAATCGATTATTTCAATGTTTTACTACGATTTCATTAATTAATACCAGTATATATATATATATATATGTTGAGGTTATATTCAGTAAACAATCAGTGCCTTATATTTTTCCTTAATTCTTATCAGTGGCGGATCTAGGATTTTGGAGGGGGGGGGCAATTTTGGCTGAAAGCTATTTTTTGAGTCCAATCGAAGTAGTGTGAACCTATTTTTTCATTCATTTTTGCTGTAAGAAATCAAAAAAAACAATCGGAAAGGGGGAGGGCGTGATCGCCTCACCCCCTAAATCCACCACTGATTCTTATCTTCATTTTGTTTATTGTAAATCAAAATTGAATTTAGGTTGGCCGTCGTTTCTATGATACAAAAGTTGAAATTGAAATAGTTAGTCAAAAAGAAGAATTTGATGTTACACATGTTATCTATGAACTTAAATTTGAAAATACAGCTTATATTAAACAAACAACATCAGATAAAGATTCTAATGAACTTGATTTAACAATTGATTGTCATATATTTTTTGAATTATTTCCATTTCATATGGTTATATCAGAATCATTAGAAATTATATCAGCTGGTGATTCATTAACACAACTTTTTCCAAATATTGTCGGTGAATTAATACGTGACATATTTACTCTTGCTCGGTAAAGAATTATATAAGAAATTAATTTCAAAATTTTTCTTTTTCTTCTTGTATTTATAGACCAATTATTACATTAAGTTGGTCTCAAATTGTTTTACATTCCAATAATGTTTTTGAATTTTCAACAATTGAACCATTACGTAAACAAGTAGACGAATGTGATTTACAAATAAATGATGTTAGAGACCAAAATGATTCAGGTAAAATTCAAAAAACAAATTCAGTTTTTGATTCTATAATTTATTTTGTTGTTTTAGAAATGCTTTTATCTATCACAGCTCAACGTGATATTCAAGAAGAATATTTGCGTCTTCGTGGACAGATGTTATACGTACATGAATGGAAAGCAATTATTTATTTAGCAACACCAATGTAAATTATTTAATAAATATAATAGTAAACATATATATTTATTTTAGTTTGGAAAATCTTGATGTTATGTTTAATACTGGTTTATTTATAAATGATCTTTCAATGCATGATTCAAGTCGAGATTTAGTATTAGCAGGTACACAACAAAGTGCGGAACTTAAATTAGCCCTGGATCAAGTAATTAAAAAATATTGAAATAAAAATAATTTTGTCTTTTTTTTTAATTAATCTTTAGGAAAGACAAAAAAGTAAAGCATTGGAAGAAAGTATGAGAAAATTAGATACTGAAATGAAAAAAACCGATTTACTTTTATATCAAATGATACCAAAGAAGATTGCTGATCGATTACGAAATGGAGAAAAAGCAGTTAACCTCTGTGAAGTAAGAATATCTTAATTAAATTATTCTCTCAAGTCTCAGACAGATTTTTTTATGCATCAATTAGCACGGGAGATGTTATTTTTAAACAAATATAATAACAACTACTCATTACAATCTAATTTATAGCAGAAATGCATCTGGAATATTCTTTACTATATAAAATAATTACTAAACATGACCCAAACTGTTTGAGTTTGGTGAGTTTGGGTCATGTCTAATAATTACTATATAGAACGTTATATCTTTTATCGTATAAGAATGAATTCATGCGAGCACATATTTTAGTTGAAATCTACATTTTTTCATAAATATCTATGATATTTTATATGTCTAAACTCAAAATATTTTTCATCTTCATCAAATGTTATAGAATAATAGAGTACATGTAAATGAACTATTGTTAATACAAGCGGTATCTATAGGATGCAATTGAATAATTAGCTGTAGAATGACCAATAGAATAATTTCTTCTCATTATTGTTTGTTAGTTACAGATTTATCATATAATTAACTGATTGTAGACATTTGATAGTTGTACAATATTATTCAGTGATGTTGTTGGTTTTACATCAATATGTGCATCACTTACACCCATGGAAGTTGTTTCTATTCTTAATGAAATGTATACTAAATTTGACAAATGCTTGGAAAGTCATAATTGTTATAAAGTTGAAACAATTGGTGATGCTTACATGTTAGTCAGTGGTTTACCTGAACGTAAGTTTTACTTTCTATCTATACAAAAAAAAGTAATTTATAATTATTTTACTTTATTAGGTGCTCGAAATCATGCGGCAGAAATTGTTGATATGGCATTTGATATGCTTGATTCAATTATTACTGTAACAAATCCAACAAATAATGAAAAACTTAAAATTCGTATTGGTATATTATTTAATAGATAAATAAAAATAGATTTATTATTCTTTTTTGTATTAGGTTGTCATAGTGGCCCAGTTGTTGCTGGTATAGCTGGAATTAAAATGCCACGTTATTGTCTTTTTGGTGACACAGTAACAACAGCTAATAAAATGGAACAAACTAGCAAAGTATGTATTATATTTTTATCTATCCGAAATAATAAAAAACTAAATAATTATTCGTCTTAACTCCACATCTATCTAATAGAAGGATTAGCTTTTGTTTGTTTTACTGTGACTGTTAATGGGAATAAATATTTATATCTTATAACTTTTGATTAATTTGTCTATATAAGAAATTATATTTTTTTTCTAGTCATTACATATTCATATAACTGATACAACATGTCGATTATTAGATCGAAAATCTTATGCAGTTCAAGAATGTCAAAAAGGAGCATTACATGGTTCTACACCTATACATACATATTTTGTATTGAATAAAAAAGATCGAGCAGGTAAACTTCAAGTACGTCCATTTCATACTGTACTTGAAGAAATAAGACAACAAGAAATTGAAGAAGCTAAAGCAAAAAAAACAATGAAACTTAAAAATATAGATTTAGAACCGATTTCACTACCTGTACCAAATGAAAATGGTTTTAATCAATTAGTAATTGAAAATAATTCAAAATCTTTATCAACAGAAATTGTTCCAATGCCTGAATCACCAAATATAAATAATAATAATAATAATAATGAAGATGTTACAGTACAACTTAATCAAAATTCTGAACCAAAAATAAATAATAATTATGATCAAACAATAAAAACATCTGAAGATATCAAAGAACAACGAGAATCAATGAAATCATCTCGTCGACAATCACATAGTAGAACATGCGAACTAATTTAAAAAAGATTTTTTTTTTGTATAATACAACTTTGTATTCAATAAAAAAACTAATATTGGTGTTTCAAATAAATCAATCCTCATTTTCTCTTTCAGATATTCAATTTATTTCTATAAATATTATTATGAATAACGTAAGTATCAAGTTTTGTACAATATGAGATAAATAAATTCATTGATTATCCAGATATATTGTTAAATGGGTCATATTATGACATTAACCCTTTAACGGGTCACTTCCGGATGAGCAAGTTTTACCGATTTTTTTCCGCATAGAATTATAGGTTTGATGCAGATTATTAGGATATGGGTGTGGGCGTGGGTGTGGGTTTTGCCATTGTATCTACACCCACACTCACGCCCTCATAGATATATTCAATCTATGGAGTATCATAGTATTTTACATCAAAATAATAGTTCTTACTTCACCGTAACCCTATGATCGAAAAGCAAAAAAAGTGGAACATATATGCCCTACCGCCCGTTAAAGGGTTAATATTCCTGACTTCCTTTTTGTATCTGTTAGAAATATTTTGTTTTACACTAAGTAAATTGAAATGAACAGATCTATAATTCATTACTTCTCTGCATGCATGATAATTAACATTGTTCTACCATGCGAAACGTTGTTGATGTCATAACTTGAAACAAAATTGCTACGATGTACTTAATAAGTTTATTTTAATTTAAATTAGGTTATTAAATCATCACCACCAATCAATAATTCCATTCCTGCACAAAATGAACGTATACAACGTCGTGATTTTCTTATTCTTGCACTAATATTCTTCATTTCAATATCAAGTTTATTAACAATTTATATTCTATTTCCAGAAGTTGATATGTATATATATTCATATATATATAGAAATAATTTTCTATTAAATTCTACCTAAATAAACTTATTTTAGTTCGGAAAAAAATGCATTTAAAATTCCCAAAACAATTGATGATGCAAAATTTCTTGGAAATGTTTTATATAAATATAGTAAACATCATCGATATATAATTATGCTTGCTTTCTTTTCAACATATATTTTGTAAGTTAACAAAATAAGATTGTTTTTGTAAATATTTTTTTTTGAAACTTTTTTAGTTTACAAACATTTGCTATACCTGGTTCAATATTTTTAAGCATTCTAGCAGGATTTCTTTATCCATTTCCATTAGCATTATTTTTAGTATGCTTATGTTCATCAATAGGTGCTAGTCTTTGTTATTTACTATCGAAATTATTTGGACGACATATTCTATTAAAATATTTTCGAACAAGAATCATCGAATGGCAACGAAAAGTTGAATATCAATTATTTGAAAAAAAATATTTTATGTTTTTTAATTCTAGGTTCAAGCACGATCAGATAGTCTTCTATGGTTTATGATTTTTCTTCGTATAACACCTATATTACCTAACTGGTTTATAAATGTTTGTTCACCAATACTTGATGTTCCATTAAAACCATTTTTTCTTGGTACATTTGCTGGTGTAGCATTACCATCGATATTATTTATTCAAGCTGGACAAACACTTCATCAATTATCATCAGCATCTGATGTATTTTCATGGAGTTCAATAATAATGCTTGGTTCTTGCGCAATATTATCATTACTTCCAATTTATTTCAAAGATAAAATTAAGAATTTTTTTAAAAAACAAAATTAAAAAAATAATTATTTTTTGTTTCTTTTGTATTTTGAAAATAAAAATCAAGAAATTTTCTATGTACCAATACAAATCAATATTATTATTTCAATAAATCTAACAAGTTAATACACATGCATTGAATAAAAGCTGTACAAAAAGTCATACAAAGTATCTTCTATAACGAAAGATACGCCACATTTTTATTATCTTATATAGAAAATTTTTATCTCAGTTACAAATAATATTTCACTTTATTTTTTTAAAAACAATTCTCTCTCGCTAAACAACATTGACTGCTCGGTCGTATAATAATATTATTACTAGTATAGGAAGAAAAAGAAAGTGTACTTTTTCAATTATATATTTATTAAAAACAACTTATGAATTATTCATTGATAGTTATAACCGGGAACGCTGCACATTCTGGTCGTTTTTGAACAGAAGAAGTTGTATGCATGGTTCTCACAGCATGCCAATAGAAAAAAGATATGTATTGACCAACGTTCCTCGTTCTGGGAACGGGAACCCGAGCACTGCACCCGTTCTTGGGAACGGAAGGTTCCTATCCCTAGTTATCATTTTATATCAATGAAAATTTAACACGTTATGAAGTGAGGAAATTTATTTTTTTAATAAATAGTCTTCGGAAAAAATATGATTAGAAAAAAGTACAACGTCAATGTCGTCTTTCATTAACTGACGTTTTGCTTCATACAAAAACAATATGGAATACTAAAATTTGATTCGTTAAATAATTATTTGAAGTGTCCAAATATATCAGAAGTTTTTCTAATTATGAAATTCAAAACGTGCTTTTTTTATTTATCATAAGTACATTATGTTCACGCGTAAAAATATCTGGCATATGTAGAATATGATAATAAAAATGTGAATTTCGAAATCCATATGGTACAAAAGAATATTTCCGCTAGAATCTAAGTTTAAACATCCAAAACAAAAACCCAGTGTCTTAAAATTCTGTACCCTACTATAATTATTTTTATTAAAATACGGAGTTAGAAAAAGAAAAATAGTTGTATTGTTTTTCTTGTCAACACATTTGTCCGATATGTAAAATAGATCAAATATTATATTTTTTGTTTGAACGTCTGAGAATATTCTACCCGTTTTTTATTTTATTTTTACAAGTGTATGTTATTTTAGACTTCCATTGACGTCATTGAATTTAAATGTCCTTTTTTGAAGTAAAATTATATACTCAAAATATTGGAGATTAGTGTTGATTGCTTTTTCTTTTTAAAAAAATTCAAACACTAATGATATATGCTATTATTTTGAAAAGTGTTAGTTATTTCCTTAACACTTGAAAGTAATTATCACATATAAAAGTAGAAATAACAAAAATAAGATCTATGAAAGGATACTTGTGAACTAACTCAAAATGATCATGATGTTTTTCCATTAAAAAAATATTTATTTTCTTTTTTTTCATCAAGAAGATTCTCGATATTCTTCGGCAAAAGCACTTAGTAAATATTTATGTTTTTGTTTAATTACGTCAAATAACATGCATTGAAAAGACAAAGAAAAAAATAGAATATAGTTTTTAAAAATTGTTAGAGAGAAAAAATAGAAAAAAAAATAAGAGACGTACTTTTTAAAAAAAATATTTAATAGGACATTCAACTTTTTTTTATCTCGGAAAAGGTTGTTTTTTCTATTTGCATTGAAAGGTTCCGAGAATAAAATATTCTCAACATAATGGATCGAACACGATTATTTCATGTTCTGATCTCGGTATGTTATATTTTACAAATGATAATCATAGTTATACATATTCTTTTGATTTATAGTTATGTCTTATCCATCATACAAAAGCAGTACCTTCGGTTGCTGCACAAAGTAAAATTATTGAAAAAATAAGTAAATATATTATATATGTATAATGGTTTTTAGGTTTATTGGGTTGTGGAACGATTACACGTCCAACGCGTATGTATCCATATAGTCCTGCTAATTATGATTTCAATACAAATACACCTGGAACATGTATACAAGCATGTTCAGCAGCTGGCTATGCATATGCAAGTGTGTCTGCTGGTCAATTATGTTTTTGTGGTACACTCACAGCTAATACTGCAATATTGAATTCGACTACAACATCATGTCAAGTGATTGCATGTACTGGTGATTCGACTCTGTATTGTGGTGATACTGATTATGAACTTGTTTATACATCGGCTGGTGATGTTGATGTAAGTTTAAATTTTATTCTATGTTTTTTTTTGTAATCGATCTATTAAAAATATATTTATAGTCGGCTAGTATTACATACAGCAGTGGTGGATCACCTATGGCTTTATCGGTTAATCAAAATTATCAATTTAGTGTTTCATACCAAGGTGCAGTTAGTTATATTTCTTATCAAGTTGACTTTGGTGATGGTACAAAAACAGGATGGTTTAATGGAACAATAAATTCGGCAACAACTGTATCGCATATTTTTTCAAAAACTGGACAATTTTCCGTATCAGTTGCAGCTCGAACAGTTATTGGAATGCAGGTAAAAACAAAAGTTTTGAGATTTTTCTTTGCTATATATGAGTTGAATTATTTATCTGTCGAAATATAATTGTAATTTCTTAATCTATTCAATTTCAATAGTATTTAATATTAAACTTTTTTTTTAAGCCGAAAATGTATGCACTAACAGTCAAGGTTACTGATCAAATCTTACCACTTGATGTATCGATAACATGTCCAAATGTAACAGCAACCAAGAAGACAGTTTCATGTATTTTTACATGTGTTCGTGGTACTGGTTTAACAGATGCTTTCAGTTACAGTATAGCTGGTTCATCTCATTCAATTCTTAATATTCCAGGTAAAATTTATTGAAAAAATTATTTCTAAATAAAAATTATTTTTTTTTAGACGCAAAATATCATACATATGGTTCATCATCTGTCACAAATAATCCAACAACAGATTCATCAGCAAGTCTACTTGGAGCTACTGATATTGCTATTTTACCGCAAAGCACTATCAAAGTTGCTGGTCGATTAGCAACAATACAACTTTATAGTTCCGGAATTGGTACAATTAGTGTTTATGTAAATACATATAATATGTCATTTTTTGCTCATATATAAAAAACATCTTTTAATATTTATTTCTAGTTACTTCGTCGTGTTTGTACATCACCAGCCATGTATTGTTATGATGCAAATACATGTGGTACTTGTGCAAATGCATATTCTTTACAATGTCCAACAAGTGTTTATTCAACCGTATCACGTTCATGTGTTAATGAAACATCAAGTCAACGTTATCAACCATCGATTTATTCTAGTGCACAATTTCAGATTGTTGCTACATATACAATATCAACAACAGGAGCTGGTTATCAACAATTTATTGCAAATTCATCATCAACTATGAATCAAACAGCACTTGTCGGAGATATTCTAGCATTTAAAGGTTCATATATTGCAAAAGAAATGACAACTGATACAACTCAAGATTATCGTTGTATAACTCCAACAATATCCAGTTCACAATTTACATGTTCTGTTGGAAATATATCATCAAGTGGTTCAACATATCGTTATTTACTTCAAGCAACAATTATACAAGCAGTACAAATTGCACCAAATGTGATTTATTATGCTAATGGAAATTATAATGTTACAAGTACAATAACACAAAATAATGTAACATCACTTTCAGCTTCAACGATATTACCAGTTGTAGATGGTATCGATTGGATTGAAATTATTGGACCGTCGACATCAAATATTAATGTTATGTTATCATTTGTGGTAAATGTCTATCCTTCGAGTAAGTATTATTAAATTAATAATATTCTATATTTATTGAATTATATTATTATAGCTGCAACTGCTACATTATTCATGTGGTCTATCAATGGTAATAATACATATAATTCATCAACAAATACAATGAATGTATCATTTCCAATCATTGGTACATATACTATTGGTGTTCAAGCACAAAATCTTCTTTCGCATGCATCTAATACAACAACAATTGTTTTACAAGATACAATTACAAATTTTACATTAGTCGGTGCAAATGTATCAAATGTTTCAATTTCTCAACCATTAGAAATAGCAAGATTTCAAATAAGAATGGTAACAGGTAGTAATTATGCATGTCGAATTAATTTTGATACAACACAAACAACAAGTGATGTTTATTTCTATACATCGGGTTATATACCAGGAAGTTATGTTACACATCAATATTTATTACCAGGTATCTATACTGTAAGTAAAATATTAATGTGTTAAAAATAGAGATAACTACATAATCATTTTATAATTTCTTTAGATATTTGCTAGTTGTGAAAATACTGTAAGTAATGTTACATATACATATACTCATTACGTACAATATCCAATTACTGGTGTTCAATTACAACAACATGGTGTTGTTAAAAATGTAAGTTTTCGTTTAAATATTACAATTGCTCAAGGTACATCGCCATTATTTCGAATTTTATTCAATGGTGTACAAGTTAATTATACCTATGATCCAACATATAATCTTGTTCAAACAACTTCATTTAATGGTCAAGGAGGAGCAACTAATTATAGTGTTGATATATATGCATGGAATTATCTTTCATCTGTTTATGTATCTGATACATTTTATGTTGTTTCATTAATAACTAATCCACAAATAAGAGCATCAACTACAAGTACACTTTTTCCAGGTCCTATTGTATTCGAATATACAATGGATAGTGGTTCAAGTACAAATGTAACATTTACATTTAGTGATACATTAATTACTATTCCAGTTACATGTTTATATAGTGGTGATTACCCAGGTGGTGTATGGAGTGGTTGTACAGGTACAAATCATACATTTGCAATTCCTGGTACATTAACAGTTCTTGCTTCATTTACAAATGCTATAAGTACAGCGTATAAATATATAACAATAACATTATCAACATCAGTTAAAGCCCTTCAACTATCAACTCTTTTACAATTAAATTCAGGTCAATGTGCAGCTGCATTTGTTGATAC